GGACGGCGGGGCCCGCCCGGGGGGCGCGTCCGTCCCGTCCCCAGAGCCCCGTCCCGTCCCGTCCCCTCAGAGCCCCGCACCGCCCCGAGCCGCGGCTCCCCCCGGACAGCGGTCTGGGAACCGGGGGTGGTAAAACCCAGTCAACAGCGTGCGGCCCTTGCCGGGATTAAACAGCAGTTCTGAGACGCTCTTCAGATTTGAAAAGACAGAAAGAATGAACGTGTTTTAGATACCAAAAATACTGCTTAGGTTGAGATGCGGAACATGAAGTCTTTGTTGTGATCTTTTGCGAAAGAAATGCTGGTGTGTAGCTGCTCGCAGCAGTCTCAAAAACACAACTGCAGTTTTCAGCCTGCTTGAGACCTGTGACGTGCCAAAATTGTTGAATACGTTTTTTTCTGAGTATAGAGTTTTGGTTTTGTTTTCAGAGCTAAATTCTTTCTACAGCGTCCATATTTCAATCTCACACATCTCATAGAAGGGAATCTTGGGAGCTTTCAGCTTAAGAAACTTGAGAATGTATAAATACCATCCCAAACACTGCATGCTACAGTCATGTTATTTCTTCCCTCATTCCTGTTATGAATTAGACGCTGCTAACTCCTCCCTTTCCCGTTTTACAGATCAGGAGTTTGAGCACAAAGGAGACTGAAAATTACCCCAGAATGTACAAAGAATCTGTAATTTCATCTTGGAGATCCTGAATCTTCATCTAGCATTTGAATTCACTATTGCACTCTCTCATGTTTAGGAGCAGAGTGAAATGTTGCTAGCATGAATATCTGAATGTAAACACCAGGCATGGGCAAAACATGTAGCCTGTTTTAGTGTTGCATTCAGGAATATTCAAATTTCTTAAGCACTCAGACAGCTAAGAATAGGTGCCAGGCTAAGGAGAGTATACACACAGAAGGCAACTCATATATTTCTATCATGTTTGAGAAGAACAATCCTTGTGCTGCTTTACACATCTCCATTTCATGCAAAGCAGGAAAGGTCCCTGATTTAGACAATTCTGCTCATGGAGAAAGCATATTTGGGGATGAGGAAAGAGATGTATTCATTAATCACTTAAGCCACATTCTTCTGCAATGCCACTGGGCTTCCGCTCTTGGAAATTGTTTCCATGTGTGCCGTAGTTAACTTAGGTCTGATTATACTTTTACTCCATCTGTTAATACGAGAAGGGAATTGAAAACAAAGCACAGCTTGGAAAGCTTGCTTTCAGCTCACTGAAATGTAATCACCATTTCAAAGAAAAAAAAGAGCAAGACCCCACAACTGTTTGACTGGGTTTTTTTTAAAGCATAGGGTCTGAATTACAGAAGAAATCATGAATGCTCACTTACATTGATTTTGGCCAGCTTTTTCTGTATAGTTGGTGTATCTCCAGATGCATCTGACCAGCGGTGAAGCTCTTCCTTTGCAGAATGAAGCCAGTCTGTGAATTCATGCACAGCATCCAGATAAAGCAAATGATCTTTTACGATATCTTCCACTTTCCTCATTTTCTCCTATCAGTCAGATGGAAAAAAAAAAACCAAAACAAAACAAAAAACAAACATTAAAGGACTTAAATACTATGTTGGCTTTAAGCAGTGCTGGTTTAACTCCATAGCATGCATTTAAATAGTGAATAGGGTATAGCTTGTGGCATCAAAACAGAATGCTACACTGCAAAAGGTTTGGTTTGGGTTGTTGTGGACAAGGATTTTCTGCTGGAGCAGAAGCCTTCTAAAAACACTGATTCAAAAATATACTTTAACACAGTCTAATGTATGGTTTAGTAGATATCAATGCTACAGCTGTGTCACTCTGGAATGCTTTTCCCAATACACCCCAGAGAGGGTCTTGCAGATCGCCCATGAGCACTCCCAGGGTGCAGCATTGCTGCCAGAAACACAACTTAGAAGCACCAAGTCTCTACAAATGCTAAGCAGAGTCGTGGAGATGTCCCACAGGAAAACCACAAACAAAAATTTTGTCTGTCCAAAAGTGCAAAGTGATCTTATGGTGCAGAGTCCCATTTTGACAATCACATCAGAAGTGGTGGCTGTCCTCAGGCTACCCTGCAGTCCTGGAGGATGCTCTCCCTGGCACAGACATGCAGCTGCTTCCTGGCTCCACCTTAGCTTTTGAATGTAATCTTAGAGTGGGGTCAGTTTATTTTACTGTGACACAGTGAAAGAGTACCGTGGTTGAGGTTTGCCTTTGGTCTGACTGAGTAAACTTCTTGCTATATTCTTTTGAGATATCACTAATGAATGTTTATCAAAACTAACCAAAAGTGAAATGAGCTAACCAAATAGATTTTTATCCCTGTGTAGATACTCTCATCTAGATTGAAGTGTCTTGAAGCCAGCTTCAAACTAAACCACCTACAAATTATGCTCAGTTATTTTAAAGTTTGAGTAACTCAACATTCAACAAATGCTGTTAAAAATTAAGTTAGATTAACAGGACCTGCTGTTCCCTCTGAAAATAATCATCATAATCTCTAAGAATGTGTCATTCTCAACTAGACATGTGAATAGTTACTGGCTAAACAAAGGAGACCTAAAGTAAATCCTAAAGAATCCAAGTTTCTATACCTTAATGCATTTTATGCAGCAACAGGGTAAGAAAATGTTCACATGCACCTGACTCTAACCAAAACAGCCTCCTAGGGAAGCAAAAGACACCTAGGAGAGAAAACCATGCATCCCTGTGTACACTGCTCACACCAAAATGTAGCACCAGTACAAGGGGAGCGTGGAGGCAAGGTGTTTCACTCTCATGATCTGGTTGGCACAAGGTCTCAGTGAGCTCACACATCTTTCCTTAGAAACCAAACAGAATACCCGTTTAGCATGTGCAGTGCTTAGTGGCTTGAAACACCATAAAACATGGGCATATATCTTTTTGACAATAGGATTTCTCTTTCTGACAATATGTTTCCTGATTAGGGAGGCATTTTATTCTTCCCTTTCTAGGTAAATAAAAAATCAAAAAAATGGTAGGAATGAATGAATATTAGATGAAAATAAATGTGTCAGAATATCAGAAATACTGCTGTATATAAGAAACTAAGAACAAAATATATGGCCTTCACTTTTCCAAAATCATAATTGTACCAACTTCAACTCTCAATAATGTTTTTGCATTCCATTAAATTTTAGTAAACTATATTCAATGTTCTTATTAGACTCAACAATACCAGAGGCAGGATTATTCAGAGTCAATGCTTTAGTTACTAAAAACCACAAAAATCAAAATATTTTAGCTATATATACAAATGTCTAAACGTTTTACTTACTTGAAATGGAGATATTTATCTTACCTTGGCTACAGTTGTGATGTCATTAAACTGTGTTTTTAGTTCTTCTTGAGCTGCATCTCCAAAGGAATCATCCCCTGTTTTTTCATAGAGTTCCACAGCTTTCTCAATGAGTTGCTGTAAATCACCTGAGTGATCCTCTATCTCAGAAACAATAGCCTGGAAATGGTCCAGCTGGGCAAACTTCTCCTTCAGACCAATCTGTGGTTCTAAAGGCTGGTCCACTTTGTGATCCAAATTCTCTAACCACTGTTCCAGCTGATTTTTCCTTTCCAGATAGTCATTCCACTGGCTAGTGACAGAATCTAGACAGCTTACATGAACAAAAACAAAGTGCAGATGAGAACCTGAGAACTTTTAAACATTTCAGGGGAAAAAAAAAAAAGAGAAAAAAAAGAGGCTGCTTATACCTTCATTGTTACACTGTCTGTAGCTATACACAATAGGTTTAGAATATCGTTTTTTCCTGCATCTTATTTTTGTTTCCTATATCAACTTGCATCCTATTTATTTTAGAATTCCTATGGCATTTGGGCATCTTTGTACAACCAACATAGCTGCTTCCCTATTACAGGTTACATGAGCAATCTATCTGCCTCAGACTAATAAAAAGCACATTTCAGTGTCTGTTCAGCAAAGTAAAATATGGAGCATTACTGGAGTTCATTATGATCACAGTACTAAAATATGCAGCAGCCTATGAAATTACTGTCAATTAAAAGATATTCTGACAAGTTTTGAAAGAAAAAATCCATTATCTATAGACTCATTTACAATTTATAAGAAATATTCCCTTCTGTTACTTTTGCTTTTCCTAGTCTCTGGGATAATCCCTAACCTCTGGGATTCAAGTTGATGAATGTAATTCTCATTTCACTGGACTTACAAATAGGCAAGGGTGTGGTAAGAATTTCACTCAAAATGCCACAGTCTAACCCAATCTAAATAATATTTTATGATAAAAATTGTGTGAAATTTTAGAGACATCATAAAGACAGACAATGTAATTTTCTATTCTATTACAATTCTATTACAATTTTGATGCAACTAAGTGGCACTACTTTCAGTTATATTTTAAGAAAAAAGTAGACAAGTCATAGTCTTCAATCTCTTGAATAAGAAACAGGTGTGATAGATGCCCAGAAAGGCCACACACAAATTGAGAAACATCAGTCTGTCTAGAACAGAAATGATGGAGGCTTTCAGATATACAAAATTATCTCACACAAGCTTTCTATTTCTACGCAGGTCAAGATGAGATGAAACCAGCTTAATATGGAAGATCATTTGGAGTTGATATTAACATTATTTTTTTTTAACTAAAAAAACAATGAAAACAGAATTGAGAAACCATCCCTGGGCTATATATAGAAAAGGTAGATAAGTATCTGTCACATGTTCCTGGTCTTGCCCAAGAACAGACTCAGAAACTCTGAAAGTCCTTTCTAGATTTTTCTCTGTATTAATTTGTATGATTTTTATTAATTTTTAATTAATGTGAGGTACCATCTCATATGAAATTTGATTCATATGATAGGGTAAACTCATTTTTTTATTACAGAAGGGTATATTTTCTAAGAAATTTCGATTCTCTCTGATAATGCAAATTTCCCCTCACATACCAGCAATGATACATGCTGTAAGGTACTACTCTCTATAAGCAAAGATAGCAGGGTCTGACCTGTGTTTTCCAGGGATTCTTACCTCTGCCAGTTCACTGAGGTACTGATGATATCATTCCATACATCCTTCAGCGTCTGAAGCTCAGTTTGTATCACTTTTTGTCCTTCCTCATTGCTGCTTTTAAGTGCTTGTTCTCCTTTGCCAATGGCCATATTCAGCTTAACCTCACCGTCACCTTTGAGTAAGAGGATCTCCTGTGAGGCAAAATAGGTCAAAATATCAAATGTAACCTTCATGAGAAATGAGAACTGTTGTTCTTTCAACAGTGAACACCATCCTCTCTGAGCTCATCCATCCTCAACAGTCATATCCAGTAGGAATTCCTAGGCACCTTTTCTTCTAAGGGCCCATACCTTGCTATGAGCAAGGGATCCAGCAGTTTTTCTATGGCTATACAAGTTTTCCACTGCATTGGTCAACCTAAAGTACTGCTCACATTGCAGCAGATACTGAATAGGTCAAGCACTGCACAGTAAGATAGCACCTCATAGCCACAAGAAATGTCAGGAAAGCCCATGGCAGATCTCCTAATGACCTTCCTGTTAGATGTTTGTCTAACCTCTTCCTGAAGACCTCCTGTGACAGAAACACAGCCATGACAGAGAGACTCTGCCAATTATTCCAAGGCCTCCCATCTATTAGAAAGCTTTCTGGGACCTAAATACACATTTTCATAATTCATTATTTCTTATAAAATGCAATACTTGACACCTGTTTCCATTAAACTTCATCCTGTTTTTCTCTACTTCCCATCCCAATTTGTCACGATCACCTTAAATTCTAATCCTCTTCTTCATAACCACAGATAAAATAAAATGTAAAAATAGATCTTTCCCACTGATGTGGCCCACACCAAATATTAATCTTGATGTGTAATATCTATTTGTATCCTCCTTTACCTGAATTTGTGTCAGTCGTCTTTCCAGGGTGGCTTTGCTTCCAAGAGTGCTCTGCGATGATATCAGTTTATCTTGAACCTCTTTCACCCATGACCACATACTCTGCAATGCCTCCTCAAAAGTGAGATGCTCTTGGAGTGCAAGCTGACATGTCCTCAGCTTCTCCTTGACACTTTTGACCATGGTTTGATAGTTGGTGAGATGTTGAGAAGCCAGACGTACTTCTCTCCCTGCACCATGGCCTTCTTCATTTAAAGTCTGTGCCATTTGGGACAGCTGATCAAAAGAGTCCCTGAAAGAAAATGATGAGACTTAAAGTTTCAGAAATATGAAAGTTTCAATAATATGAAATATTATAGCCACTGCCAAATGTTGTGGAGGCTGCTGACATGACACCCACTCCATCAGTGATAAGAGTTCACAATTAACTGACAAAATAAGTTAGAAAGAATATAAGCAGCGTGTGCTGATTACAGAATTCACAGAATCACTTGGTTGAAAGAGACCTTCAAGATCATTGAGTCCAACCCAGCCCTCACACCTTCATGTCACTGAGTGCCATATACAGTCTTTTTTTATAACACATCCAGGGATGGTGACTCTACCACCCCCCCGGCAGGCAATTCCAGTCCTTTACCACTCTTTCAATAAAAAACCTTTTCCTAATATCCAACCTGTATTTCCCTTGGTGCAGCTTGAGGCTGTGTCCTCTCATTCTGTCAGTTCCTGCCTGGAGAAAGAGACCGACCCCACCTGCCTACAGCCTCTTTCAGGGAGTTGTAGAGAGTGATGAGGTCACTCTGAGTCTCCTTTTCTCCAGGCTAAACAACCCCAGCTCCCTCAGCCGTTCCTCACAGGGTTTGTGTTCCCGGCCCCTCACCAGCCTCGTTGCCTCCTCTGGACGCGCTCAAGGGTCTCAACGTCCTTCCCAAACTGAGGGCCCAGAACTGGACACAGCACTCCAGGTGTGGCCTCACCAGTGCCCAGTGCAGGGGGAGAATGACCTCCCTGCTCCTGCTGGCCACACCATTCCTGACACAGGCCAGGGGCCATTGGCCTTCTTGGCCCCCAGGGCACACTGCTGGCTCATGTTCAGCTGCTGTCACCAGCACCCCCAGGTCCCTTTCTGCCTGGGCTCTGTCCAGCCACACCATCCCCAGCCTGTAACATTGCAGGGGGTTATTGCAGCCAAAATGCAGGACTTGGCACTTGGACCTATTAAACTTCATCCTATCAGATTTTGTCCATCCATCCAACCATTCCAGGTCTCTCTGCAGAGCCCTCTCACCTTCCAACAGATCAACACACACTCCCAGCTTAGTGTCATCTGCAAATTTACTAATGAAAGACTCAATACCCTCATGCATGTCATCAATAAAATTATTGAACAGAATATTTTGTCCCCCAGCACAGACCCTTGATGGACACCACTGGTGACTGGCCGCCAGCTGGATGCAGCCCCACTCACCACCACTCTCTGGGCCCGGCCATCCAGCCAGTTATTAATATCTTTGCTTGTGTGCAGTGCCACATCTTTCAGAATTTTGGTGCTCAGAACTGAAATCTTTGTGTCAAACATTTAAATTAAAAGCTACCTTAGTTTTCTTTTCAGGAGTCAAACTTTCAATTTCTATATGAAATTCTACCCTTTGTACCTGCCAAAGCTTCTAAGAAGTTTGTCATCCTGGACAGGTAGGAAAGCATGATGGAAAGGTCATTTGTCCAGGATTAGACAATGGCTCAGATTCAGTACAAGGGCCAGTGAAAGGGATTAATACTGGGTTTATACAGCCCCAGTTAATCTAATTCTACTTGATCACCTTTCCTGATGCCTGATGAGTACAAGGAATTTCCATCAGACCAAAATGTCTTGCATCAGTCTCAAGGCCATAGGGAGTGACTGGGTGTTTCTTTTTAAGATGCTGTGAGACTTAGACAACTGACTGCTATTTTTGTTCTACCTTCACCAACCCAATAATAAAAAGAAGATTTGAAAAAACCTCCATGTACTCAAAATGGCAATTACTTCATTATCTACTGGCCAAGTCCAAATTTTAGAAAGATTTCACAGCTAATGTAGATGCTTTTTGAGATTTTTTTGGTAAGGCAAGATGTATGGGGAAGAGGATTCTGCTAACCTGGTTGAATCTCAATGTTACAGGACAGAAAGAAAATTTTAAAATGGACATAATGATAAATGTAACTTTCACTACTGCTTTTAAAACCAATATTTTTAACTTCTATTTTTAAAAAGGATATTTTTCAGTTTCCATTTAATAATGAAGTATGATAAGCTTTTATTGATTTATCAAGAGCAAATATTGTATTTGGTTGAAATTCATTAGAAATTGAACTATCTGGATTCAGCCTCTTTTCACAGAGAAAAGAATTTCCAACACACTCTAGCTTTTAAAAGCACTTTACCCCAAGAGTTAATTTTACTTCTGCCCTAGTAGGGGAAAAAATGAGAGTATTTTAGAAAATTAATATTCAATATACCTTGAATTCAGCAACTCTTCTAGGAACTTTTCCACTTTTTGCACCTCCTTTTTCTTCTCAGAAACAAGCTGTTTGTTTTCTCCTAATGCTTCCGTGCTTATTCTTTCTTCCATGTCATGCATCCACAGGGAAAGCTTCTTGTACTGATCTTCAAAGCTACAGAGCAGATAAATACTCCTTTAAAAAGTACTTCTCAAGTGGAGTAAAGTTGGAAGAAGTTAATATCCACAATTTCATGCTTTCAGCATAAGAGTCGTACACAAAACATAATTCCACAGTGACTACTAGTCTAAAAATATTCAGCAACTCTCTAAAAATGTTCAGGAAAATCATGGGAACTACAGGGAGACCAGAAGCCTCCAAAATTTAAAGTGACAGTACTTCTATTTATACTGGATTCAATAAAAGCTGACCAAAAGAAATCTTTTTTCAAATTATTGGAATAATTTAGACTAAGAACAAACAATGGGTAAAACTGAGCCTTTTTTTTGTCAGCATTTATGTGTAGAACAACTGAAGTGTTGTGTTTTCAATTCTTCCTGCAGAAGAGAACTGGAATCTTGAGTGCTCAAAACTCAGCAAAACAAGTTCCAGATCTAAGCTTGAAAACTTTTCCTTACATGCAGGCACACTGTCTCCTACTGTTGTTTTACCCAGTACTACCACACTAACTTTGCTTTCAATTAGCAACAGTGTTGAACAGTTTTAGATATGAAAATATTTCAATTCCCAAAATTCCAGCCCTAAACAGTAATTTAAGGGTATTTTCTTCTTAGCTCCGTAGGAAATATGTCCGTTTGGAATGGGACAGAACAGGCACATGCTGTGTAAAATGCATACTATCTTAAAGCCCCAGGGAAGAAATGAACTTCATTGCACATTTTCCATCCAGAAAATGGCATTTAAATTACTGGAATCCCAGCTGCTGTTTTGGAGTTTCATAAGCTACACAAAACTTCTGCATATATGATCCTGACCTCCTATTTTTTAACCCTTGGAACAAGACCTGTTGCTTTGTTTTTATCAGTGTACTTCAGTTTCTCTTAATTGTTTCCAAAGAAAAAAACAAACATAACTAGATCATCTGGAAATAATTTTGTACTTTGCCCTGGACTTTGGAAGCCAGGAAATTTCATGCAGTTCACAATTTATTTGTGACTGCTGGTATTACTCACCTTCCCAGGTGTGATGCACAGTCTTCCAGGGCTTTCTTGTCATTCAGACACTGTTTGAGGAATTCTTGGAAGTTCTGGTTAGACTTTGCTATTTGCTCCTGAATATGGCTCACAACTGGTTTGGGTAAACAACCATATAAACTTTCTCCTTCCTTGCAGGCTGCATCTAATTTGTTCTGTCCTTCACTAATAGAATCCAGCACACCCTGTGCAATGAAAGAACAGTTTAAACACATAAGATTTGATAATTAAAGATAAGCAATATTTCTATAAGAAGTGGTCAGATTTCTCCAAGAAGATAAGAGCTACGCCTAGGTATCAAAAAACTTCTAAGCAGATCAAATAAAATTTTATTAAGTGGTGCTAAAATTCACAGCACTCAATTTTCTTATTTGATCCCAAGGTAGTCATGGTTTTCTCTGAGTAGTTTAACAATGTGTAAACGTCTGAAGACGTTACACATTTCAGGTGTTAGGGCTGTTTACAACAGGTGTCTGCTACTTATGTTCTGTCTCATCAAAAGTATATACACACAAGCTTTGACATATCAGTGTTTATCTGAAATACTGAAAAGTGTTATAAAAAATTAGGAAAAGAAGAAAAAGAGAGAAAAAAGGAAAAAAAATAATCAGAAACAAGAATAGTATAGTTATACATAAACCTTCCAGAAATTAAATTCCTATCTCAGAACAGGGACCACAGTTTTCACTGTATTCCCTTTACAGTGCATACTGCTGCCTTGAACCATTCTTATATTACTTTCTTAAAAACAAAAACAAGTGTGTTAGCATCTACAAATTATTTTAGAGATACAGTTGGTTCCTATACTAAATTGCTAATTATTGGCTGTTTTAATTTAACTTGTTCACTATACCTGCAAGTCATGTAGCTTTGCCTCTATTGCTTTGCTGTCCCCAGACCTGTCAGATGATTCTTTTACTGCAGCCTTCACACCAGAAAACCATTCCTGGAATTCTTGCATAGAGTCTTATTTAATAAAAAAGAGAATATTTTTTTTTTTTTAGCTACAGCATTATCCACAGTATTATACAGCTGTTTTAAACAAATCTTTTATCCTTCAGGAACAGTGTGTAAAAGCTAATAGAGTAAATCTAATTGTTGTCAATAACCTTGGGAGTAAGATTAGAAACTAGATGTTTCCTCTGCAAACATCCAAATTTGAACAGTCTTACTAGGCTGCCCTTGACAGTCAATTTCAGTTTATGATACATCCCAATTTTATGCTAGATAAAATCTAAAATCTAAATCAATATCTTAATAAATAAGATTAAAAGTTGCTTTTCTCCATTGACTATCCAGGGAGCCCAGGAAATAGTTAAGATGGGTACTTTTACATTATAAAGACTTCCATCTGGTTATATACCTCTCTTTATTGCAAATGAAAACAGTGTATTTATGCGATAGAGATGAATACTAATAGTGAGGAAAGGTGCATTTTCATGCATATCACATAGTTAAAGTTGAGTATGTAAAATGCTTTGTTGCATAGCAGTTATCCAATGAACATTTGGTAACAGGACTTTTTGAGAGGCTCCATATGAAAACAAAGCTGAAATTGCAAGTGACATCACTGGAAACTCTGGCAGAGTGACTCACGGCTGTGGGCTAACAGCTCACTCCTATTAACCAGCCCGAGGACTCACAGAGGAAATGTTTTTCCAAGGACTCTTGCATCCTGGCCTGTGTTCTGGAACACAGCAGATTCACAGCTTCATACTTCTTTATTAACAAAGTGACAGTGCCACCAAGAGCTTCCAGCTCTACCGAGTGGTATTTGCGACAGAGGCTATTGAGGGTCTCACGGGTTGAGTCAATGCTACTTTGCTGAAGCTGAAGGTCCTTTTGCGTTTCCTGAAAATACAGTTACAACATAAATGCGATATTTATAAAGAAACAAAAGAACTGTCTTTTTCTGAAGCATTCCTACTCCTCTCATATGTTCTTTCCTGTTGTGCTCTATAAGTCATCCCAGACACAATGAAGGAAAGAAGCACTGACTGGATGATGTTTCCTGAATTTCCCAAGTGAGATGAATCCTTGAAACTAAAGAGCCATCATAGAAATTTGAGAAGTGATGTTTCTCATGATTTATTACTCTACTTGTAATGAATAGATTTCAAGGCATGTTGAATAGAAATAGATATTTTCAGCAAAGTCTGAAGGCACGTGTGGGATGCAATATGACACTTTGGCAGGTATTTGGCAGGACTTTTGAATACAGGGGGGGACTTAACATACAACCTGAGAGAAACATTTTCTGAAAACTAAATGTGAATTGGCTAGTATATCAATATTAATTGTACTCACAGTTAAATACCTCAGTGTGGTTTGTCATGTTATGATGTGCATAACTGCATGCACATCAAGAGAGCACTTGGATGTAGGAAAAAAGAATGGCTATGTATGATGACTGAGGAGGACTTCTGAGGTAGAAGTTTGTGTTAAAATTGAATTTGGACCAGTGGCTTTTACTGTCATGTGCTATGAGTTCATAACTTATTGCAACGGACTCAACACACATGCTGGAGTAAGGACAAGGAGTTCAATGTAACAAAACCAGTTCTTGCAACAAATAGACCATATTATTCACTAAAATTTTCTAAAAAGTTTGTGTAAAGTTAATAAATCAGAACTTTTGTTCATTGGTGCAACTTCCTGTATTATTTGCTAATATTCTAGCAGCTGTGCAGGAGATAAGCATTTTTTATCAAAGGAAAATTAACTATAAAGCTCAGAAAAAAGCCCCCAGAGATCAATGCGCAAGGAAAAAGTATATTAATTTTTTTCAGCACTGACCTTTAGTTTATTTAGTGCTTCAGGATCCAGGTTACGAGCACAGCTTAACAGCGTCTCCTCCACTTGAGATAGCCAGTCTGTCATCTGGCCAATCAGCTTCTGTAACTGCATCTTCTGGGTACTGAAATCTTTCAGCGTCTCTTTCGCTGTCTCTGATATTTCTTTGGCATGTTCCAGCTTCTGCCTCAAATCTGATTCTATAAACTAAAACCAAAATGTTATGTATTAAGACATTTAATAATAAAAATGTTTATTAGGGTAAATGCTTATTGGCAAAAAGAAGGTAGGAAAGTGCCACACATCTGCTATCTTTACAGCTTTAATTGGAGATACTTACATACCTACAAAACAACAACAATTCAGGATTCAGTCTTAGATATACAGTAATCCAAAGAAGGGATACTAACTTATAAAAAGCCAGACTGTAAACTATTGCAGTTGTTATCCATTTCTGAAAAATTAAACAGTTGATATTTTCTGTTTACTAGTTTCCTGTATATACAGAACATGATCCTACACTCAAATAGCTCAATAAAAAGAAATATCAGTTGGAGAGTGAGCCTTAGGAACACTGAGGCTTAAAGTATCTCAGTGTAAAGCAGGTGAAAATTGAAGATAGTACAAAAAATAAGCTAGAACCTTGCCCCTTAACCCATTCAAAGACAGGAATATGCAAAATTATAGTAGATGTTAGCTGAGCACACATCAGTTATAGAAATGAATCTATAATATGGTACTATATATAAATCAGGCTCACAGAATCCTTTGGATTAGAAGGGACCTCTGTACCTTCCTTAGTTCATATTCCCTGCCAAGGCAGGGTCACCTACAGCTGGTGACACAGAAACACAGAAACAAAGGTGGGTTTTTTACCTTCTATAGAGAGGGAGACTCCACAACCTCCCTGGGTAACCTGTTTCAAAATGTGGGCAAGGCTTGAGTGTTGCATTAACTTCCATTAAAACCTGATATATTTCAAGATACATCCTCACCCATGGAAATTGCAGAAGTCAGCTTAAATTTTAGATTTCTGGCATTAAGTTAATAATCTCAAATACCCATTTCTGTTTGAAATCAAACTGCCAAAAAAGTCATACTTTATGACTGCCCTAGAACACAGAAATAAGTATCTGGCCACAAGTTCAACAGCTTACCTTCATAGTTGTTGTTTTAGGTTTTTCTTTTAAGAGCTACTTAAGTGCCCTTATTCTAGTCCACTAAAGAACCTGCTTTTTAACAAAGCAAATGAACAAATTTTACTGCCTTATAATTCTTTCAAGGAAACAAACTGTGCATGCACTCACATGTGATGTGGCTTAATGTTGTGCAGTGTAGAGAATATCTGTAGTATCATATCTCATCAGCTACATAATAAACAATTGATTCTATTTGGATTTATTAAAATATACTTCTACAACCCTAATGTTCACTTACTTTATGATATGCTGCTTATACAAAACAAAAATCAAGGTTACCTAGAGAAATATGAACAAAGAATAGTTATGCTACTTATAAATAATAATGCTGCATCTGTCACCTTGAAATAAAAAAGAGGTGTAGGAAAGACAAAAATGTAAGAAGGAATGTTTTCTTAGTTATTTGAGCACAATCTGTAGTTACAAATGTCTTTATTTTACCTGAAGATCTGCAGGTGGCTCTTGACTATGGGTCAGTTCTTTGAGTTCTGAAATTTTGGAACTAAGTTGCTCCAACTTTAGTTCTTTATTCTTGACTTCAGACTGTAAAAGAGATGTGGTCAATGTTTTGTACCAAACTACAAGAAGCTTTTAGACTTTCAGAAGGATGCTCCATCAATTTCAACATTGAAAGAAAATGTACACACAGTTTAGGAACCAGAAGGAAAACACTGTTGTACTAATCTTGTGCTCTAAAAACCTCCCATCTCTTTTTTCCTTATTAGACTCAGTTCAGAGAAATTTTCCCCTCCTTTAAAATAATGATACAAATTAGTAGCATTTAAAATGCTCTAAAAGGTGGGTTTTTTTTGGTTAAAACTGGGAAAATAAAGCTGAAAATATCATTGTTTATTTGACTGGAAATATCTACTGAGGGTGTTAGGTTCCACTTAAAGACATGTGTAGAGTGTATTGCATGTGGTCTCTGATTTTTATTATAAGCAAGTGAGCTCTTGATGAAAAATTAGACACAGAAATAGATTTTAACTTTAAGAGGGATTAAAAAAAGCTGTTATATATACACTGACATATCTGGACTTTGTATTTATAGATCCAAGTTATTAAAAAAAATTACTTATTAAAAATGCAGTATCAAAGTGAAAGCTGAAAATCAGAATTTGGAATTCTGAAGTATCAGTATCCTATTGCCCAAATTTTCTTTTCAAAAAATTTCAAACACATCATTCCAATTAAAAGATTGGACAGTGGATTCCAGGATTAAATTGCCAAACTTAACATCTGCCCTGAATGCCCAAAAGAATACTTAGGAGGTATTTTGTGCTAGGGAGGATATAATATTAGGTGGTCAGTCAAGAAAGTCATCACTGATTTGGGTCACAGAAGAGGTAAACTGATTGTTGCTGTCCATGCTCGTCTATTTCTGATTGCTGAAAGGGCAGGACTCTGCTGTCACTGAACTGCTTTTCCTCTTGCCTTTCCAAAAGTAAGTATAAAAAAAAGGTATTGTTCATTCTGTGACTGTAAATGTACACACAGTGATCACATCTGCTATTTTGGACCTCCTGCATATCAAATATACCTGTGTTTTGGGTGTCCAGTTTTAACAGCAAAGAATTTAGGTGGTCAGATTGCTACATAAGGCATTGTCACCCCCAAATGGCATTCAATAAAGATTAACCTTGAGCAAAATATTGATTTATCAGTGTTTATATTCTATCATAATACTTGAATATCTTCACTGTGCATCTTATTAAGGACTTAATTAATTCCAAATGAAGTAGAATATGGCTTAATCTCTGATTGCTCTAATGTGTATGTTAAGCCAATAGAGACAGGATGCATTCTGAAAATTGGCTAGATTTCTAAAAGAGTTTAACATTATCCAGAAAAAAAAGTCATAATCTAACTGAAATTGTCAGAACTTGACATAAAAATTTACATTCCAGTCCAGCATATGTCTTTTATTGTCTGGAGAACCTACTCTCCTGGATGAGGTTTTAGAAACTAATTTTTTTGATAAACTTTAGCTGAAGTTGTCTAAAATCTCCATTGGTTTTTACTGGAACACAAGTCAGTCTAGAACCAAATGTAACTTCAAGAGTCAAAATAACTAGGGAGCTTAGATTTAGTAAGATGTGCAATTCTTGCTTCTTTCAGAACCTAACACCTTCAAATAAAAAGGTCAGGAATGCTTTCAGCTAGCTATTGGCATAGGGTACCACAGCTTCAACAGAGGACACAGAGGTCTACAAGATTTCAGCCTTCCCTCTGCGCTGGACATCTCTTGACATTTTGATCCACAACATTTTTATCAATGATTTGTGGGTAAGAACCTGGAAATCTTTCAGGAGGACCTCCATTCTTTGACTGTTACTGAAGTTCTGGATGCCTTCATTCAGTTGAGAAATGCACTTATTACACCATCCATCCAGTTCATCTCCAGTTTTCAGGATGTCATCCCACAGAGACATGCTTACACTCAGTCGGTCGATGTTATCATCAATTCTTTCAGACACCTTTTAGGGAAGAGGAATATATCAATACCATTCACAAATTAATTTTAGACTTCTCTATTTTGCAGACAGTTATAAGACAAGTGCATCGAAAATAATTAGTAAACCTGGGTAAAATAATTTTCTTGGGTTTAGTTCTGAATTCTAATTTCAATTTAGTTACCCAGATCATAAAACGAACGCAAATCTTAGGTGTCTCTTTCCAAATATCTGCATATTTTTTTTACTGTGAAAAAGTTTTATGTTCAAATAAAACTTATTTTTCAAAAAAACTACATTTATCCTTCTTATTGTAATGTACAAATTTGCTACTAAAGCAGTATAAATGTGAAAATGTAAAATATTAGGTAGAAATTATTTACTGTGAGGGTGGTGAGACACTGGAACTGATTGTCCAGAGACACTGTAGATTCATCCGTGGAAATGTTGAATGCCGGGGTGAATGGGGCTTTGAGCAACCTGGTCTAGTTAAAGATGCCCTTGCCCTGGGGGCAGGGGATTGGAACCAGATCTTTAAGATCCCTTCCAACCCAAACCAATCCATGATTCTGTAACTAGCTTTTATGTTGTGTTTCTCTCCTATAATGATGTCTTTTTCAACATATGGATATCTTTTGTGGTTTAGCTTAATGTAATTTACTTATTAGTAAAAACTTATTAGTCTAATTTGTTTCAATAAAGTATTGCTGGTATGCATTAGGTGTGAATCCAACCCCAATTCATGCTTGGAACTGTGCAGTCAGCAAACTTACAGTAGTAGCATTCATACACTGCTTTAAAATCTACCAAATCATATCAAATCATATAAAATCTACCAAATTAATGTCACAACTTCATGCATACAGTGGATGCCAAATCCCTCTAAGACTTTGAGTTATAATTCAAAGTAAATTTCACTAAACAATTGTACTCTTAGATCCTAAGAAAATGGAAATATTATAAGCTTATCTAAACTTAAAAACTGTATTTGGCATATAAACACCAGATTCTTACATCTAGCCATTTGTCCACCATGGAATTAATATCTGTTTTCAGCGCAGTGGAGTCACAGTTCTGCACTCTTTTCAGTTCCGCTAACAAATGTTTTCCTTTATTAGTGAAAGTATCCAGGTCTTTTTGTTTATCACTCAGATCATTCTTGGCAGCTTCATGCTGTGGACATAAATATTTGCTTGTTTAATGGAACCTTAAAGAAAGAAATAAAAATCCAGTTCTCCAGGTACCCATCCCTGGCCCCATGTTATAAATTTGTTAATTCTCATATCTAATATTTACTAATCCACAAAATACAAAGCAGCTGACACGGTTTTCTTATGAGGCATAATCATATAGGATGATTGTTCTTCTACATAAAGCACACAAGTGGCAGTAACACATTTTGAATTTCTTCCACTTGGTAACCAGATGTTTTCTGGACTTAAGTAAATTTCATTTTTTTTTATTCGCCTTTCCATTCTTCATCATTGAATAATTTCTTCAGGAGTTATAGCAAGGTAAACAGAGGTGCTGTAAACAAAATTTAGAATTGAAAACCCCATCACTACTTCCAGACATTGTGGAAAACATAAGTATAGATGTGTTCTGGAAGGAACTAGACAAAATCTTCAGGGCTAGCAGGTTTGGAAGGCTAGGCATAGGGAAATCTTTATGATATTTTCATTGAAAAGGTAAGATGCTGAGAATGGATCACAGTAAGAATCTTTTGCTTTTTTCTACAGCAAGTACTAGAGAGCAGTATTAACAATAATCTGTATGCTGTATGGCCAAAGCAATTTTTGCACTCAAACTTCTTCAGGCCTAGATGTGGCCGCTGCTGCAGCAGGGAATTCTCTTCAGCCCAAGTCTCAAAGGAATGATGTGGAAGTTACATGAAGCTCTTTTTTGGACTGGTGAGCTCTGTTCTGGCTTTTTGTTCTTTTAAGATGTCTATCAGAAAGAGGCCATAAATATGTACAGTTTAGATTAAGGTTTATACAGATCTGACTAAAAGATATTGAATCAAGAGCTCAATAGGTTTCCAAATTAAATTACCCTCCAAAGGAATAGAAAGAATTTAACTCAGAACTGTTTATCCTGGCAGGCTGAGGGACATCAGAATTTAGTATTTTTGAAATACAATACAGTGAAATTAATACAATGTAGGAATCCAAATACCTTATCTCTGCTCAATGGCTAGTATCATTACACACCATGACAGAAGTCCTCTTAGGGAAAGAGACAGATATAAAAATTGCACACATCAGAAATGTGTGCAATTCATGTTCCTTTGTGGCCTTTTATCTATTCCAAAATTTAGCCAATATAGAAAAATATTGAAGTATGTTGACTAGAACTATCCTTTCATACTATGATAGGAATATATTCTCGATGTATTTCATATAAAGAGCTTTCTACTATTTTCCACTTATGCTTTCCATGTATTAAGAACATTCATTTCCATTAACAACAGATTGATAGATCTCACCAAGATGCAAAAAAGGGCTATATTCTTTCCTCATCAAAATCAGTACAATTAAAACTCTGAATGTCAGTGTGACAAGATTTGACAGTAAATTCAAGGAGCTTTAAACAGAGTTCAAGGGCATCTTTAAAACAAAAAAGTCCATTTAATAAAAAAAACCAACTCATTCAAACTCCTCAAAGGAAAACATGTGTCACTACCTTTGATAATGTCCGCCTGACATCTTCATGATCCTTCCATATGGATTTGGTCACAGAAGCACTGTTAGCACTGTCTATGACTTTCATTACTGTTGACTTCAAGCTCTGATATTCCTTCATCAGATCGATCAGAACACAGGACTGCTCCTTTCTGTAATATGAAAAACTGTGTTAGCACCACTTGCTGTCATGTTTCTGAAGGATAGAGAACATGACATAGCAATTCATCATGGGAAAACCAGGATGCAGTGCTAAACATTGCAGCCAAAGAAATATTAATATTTTGGGTTTACAGATCACTGTTGATCCATCACAAAACATCTTACTGAAGAGACATGAATGTGAATTGCCATCTCAAATATATCAAATACTAAAGCAACTGACTTCAGCAAAAGAAAGACTGAAACTGGAATTCAAGCTTCTCAGTTCCTAAGTTTAGCATCTTTTTGACTGAAAACCACATTGTAATGATTGTGCCACTCACAGTTCATTTTTAAAAAAGAATCTTGGTTTTTTAACATGGAATGTTTTCTGGATAAAAAGAATCAGAAATAAAGACTAAAGCAATGCATACTTAGGTCCGTCTGTTTTGTCCTCTAATTATTAGTCAGATGCATGCTTTTGGGACTAAAATGTTATATTCAACTTACCTCCCTTCTACTGAGAATAAATTAGCCCTCTACTAAAAGCAAGCCTAATTTTTTTTCCCCACCCTCTCTCTAGGAGAGCTTATTTATGCTAAGGCAATGGACAGTGGAAAAATCTCTATTCAATCCATTCCTGGTGTTTATACTGAAGAGAGAGAAGCAAAACTGGTATTTTGGATATATGCAAAGTTTATTTGTAAAGCATTGTTTTTCAATGAAAGGATTTTGGGAAACATGATATTGTCAAAAAAGAGGAGCAACTATTTTAGGAGCTGTTTCTTCTCTGAATGCTCCAAAGAACTCTCCAAAATAAGTGGGTTCAGGAGGGTCTAAAACTGTGTCTATATAATAGAGAAAACACTGCTAGTTTTCTTTAAAGATGATTGTGTGCTAGTTAAGATAAAGAAAAGGGTATGATAAAACTTCCTGTAGTTTCTTTAGCTTCTTTAGTAATCAACTTTCATTGACAAAACCAATCATCTGATCATGTGTCATATACAAACAGTGTAACTGATTACATACTAATGGTTATTATAAACCTGTTTCTATAGGCAGACAGAAATACTTAAATTTAAAAATTATTTAGGACCACTGAATATAGAACTGTCAGAAACACATAGCCAATAAAGAATGAAAATTTATGTAAATAAATAAGGAGAATATGTGCCAGCTAGAGTGACTGTGAAAATTCAGTGGAGAATTCTTATCTTTCAGAAAATAATAACATGCAATATAGGATGTAGGTAATAAAATATATATCTGTCATACTGTACTGAGGACCTATCTGTGGCTTTATTTATAGTCTAAGTACAACTGGTACAAATACTCATACTCAAATACATGTTAACTATGTGTTCTCATCTTCTACTAACTATTTAACCTACAAGCCCTGCTTTTCACTGTAACTAATACAGCAAGAAAATATTACATGTAATAACTGTGTTTCTTTCTCCATCTTTTCCTTTCTTAGCTTAAGCTAAAAATCTACTTACTTTTCACGTATAGCTTTCTTGGTGTCCTTCCACAGAGATTCTAAGCGATTTATCTCTTTGTCAATCTCAGGAGCAAGTGTGATATCTTTTTGAGCTATTTGTTTTGCTTTGTCCATGAGCCACTGGAGTTCATGCTGGTGAGAATTCAATTCTTCATCTATCTGGTTAAAGATCCTCAATCTGCAAGTTAAAAGACTAGTTTCAAGTTTACTCAACTTTGCTTTATTTTTTTCCCCCCTAACATTTCCTACAATATAGAAATTTGGTTGGTTGTTTTTTCTTTTTCCCACTAAACTGGGCTCAGAATGTGATTTTTCTGATACAATACTGCTATAAAATCATATAGATATGTATATACCTCCCCCTCAAACAGTCACCTGGAAATATACTCAGATATTCAGATTAATACTTTATTACAGTAAGTGTTTTTAATTCCATCATCCCATGTACAATCTTCAGTTCTGCAAGGTAGAGATAGTTATGTTATATGGGATTTCTAGTAGCTGCTTGGATATTAGATTCATTTGGGCAAAATATATTTTTGAGAATTAGACTTTCATGACTACTCTTTCAATATAAAAGATTAGCAGGACTTGCTTAGTGTTTTGTGCATCCTAGTAGTCTGCTTACAAAATTTAATTAAGTAGATACATACGCTTGGCAAGAAGTAAAGTACCTGGGCAGAAAATGCACACATGCCTCAAGTGAAGCATAAAAGGTCTAGAGATTGCAATCAAGTGTGAAAGTGACAATGATTTTACCTTTGCTGGAGGGCTTGTAGCGTTGTCTCCTTCAGGCCCTCCTTGTCAGCCTTTTCCTCAGTATCCTCAATGCTCTTCAGTAACTGCTCTTTACGCTCCATGAAAGACCTTTGCAAGGCTCCAAGAGCTTCTGCCTCACTTTGTTTGGTTCCCAGCAGATTTTGAACTGCCTCCAGTTCCACACCCAGGTTATCCACCATAGCCCTGCAGGAGGTCCTGTGCCCAGAAATGCTGTGCTTCAGATGATACTGAGCCTTAGTAAGGGAACCATCCAAACTGACAGCATCAGATTCCAACTTGTTGAGATCATTAATGACACCACTGAGTTCCTTCTCCAGTAATTCAGACTTAGCTTTATTCATATTTCCTGTTTTCTCCACTGTCTGCCTCAGCTGGTGGAGCACTCCTGATGCAGCACTGTGGAGCTCCAGGAATACTTGCAACTGATCCAGGGCATCCTGTCTTTGGCTAGTTATTTGACATGCCTCCTGAAAGATCTGAAAGCAATCTTCAGTCTTTCCCTGCAATGTCTGCTGGTCCTCTGGGCTGCTGAAAGAACCCAATTTCTCTACATGCTCCTTCAGGCATTGTAACTCCTGTTTCTTACTTTCAACTTCCATTGAGTGGTTCTATGGGAAAGAAAGAAAATAGGGCTTTCTTCTTCAAATAACAACTGAGGAAACATTTTAATACTAAATTTATGAGCGAAACAAGTACTACTGAGGGGTTTTTAGTGGAATAGTTCAATGTTAAAATTTTCTTTATAATTCTCAACAGAAGTCTGTATGTGACTGCAACAACATATTGGTCTTCAAACAAATAAATTACTTGCTAGTTCTAGATAGTATTTAGCTAAATGCACTGTACAATTTCTCCGTCTTTAATATTTACATCTAAAAGTTTACCTTATTGTGAGATGCAGCTAGTTGTTGATCAGCTGTGTTTATCTCTGAAGTGGCTTGTAGTTCAGCAAGAAATTGCTTAATCCAGTCTGAAAACCTGAGCAGAAGCTCATCAAACTGCCCATGCTCAGCAACAAGTGATTGAAGGAAGTTGATCCTATAGAATGTCAGATGTAAATATGAAAGCACTTGATGCAATTTAATCACTTCCCATAATCAAACCCACAGCTGACTGGCCAGCATTAAAATCAATGCCAGATGCAAGGAAAGTAGGAAATATTACTTTAGTTTGCCATATTGATTTTTTTATTTCTGGGGAATAACATAACATTTGAAAACACCTTTAGATCTTTCCTGTTTCTACTCTTTTATTTATATCAACTGTTAGAGGTACCCCAAAAAACCAAGGTATGTTCTTCAAATTTTCTTTATGGGTGTAATCCCAGCAAAAACAATGCTACTGAGGGAAGCTAAACTTTGATTTTCAGTCATAGTAATTATTGCCTATCATCTGAAACACTGAATCATGGTAAGTGTCTCATGAATTTAGGCCGGGGGTGAGGAATTTCATGTTTAACTTCCACTGAAGTAAGCAAGGGTAAAGCCTGACCAGAGGAATGCAATTCAAAAGAATAATGTGTCCAAAGGAGTACTCAGCAGAACTAAGTACCTAAGTACCAAGTCTAAACCTTGACCTTAGAAAAAACCTTGTCATTTACCTTCCCATTTCCTTTAGAAATTTCTCTACCTAGTTTTCAACATGTAGAAAATCATTATATTGTAAAACAAGTATATTGACAAACCTAGAAAACTGCAACATCGGTCAAGATCTATTATTTAAGCTACATTACAAAATAGTAAAATATGTATGTTCATCATGGAAAGAATTGAAATCTAAATACATGGTAACATACAGTTTGAAAGAGGAGAAAAAAGAGACAGTTTTTCTGAGCTTAACATGAGCCAGCAGCCTAACAACTGAGCATTTATAGTATTTATGGCAAATTAGAATTTCAAAGTGAGTTTAAAAATACCATAGAGTGTCTTTGCACAAGATAAAGCATATAACTGAAACAATCAAGAACAGATCATTAGAGATTTTGAAATTTACTTGGGAAATTGTAACTGAGGAAATGCAGCATTGCCTTCATTTCCTGCCCCACACTCCTTCAAACAGACTCTTCTACCAAAAAAATACAGGGATGCATATAAAAAGAAAGCATCAGAAATGTGTGGGATTTTCCATCCCCCATTCCTGGGAGTTCAGGGATTGGTACTGATCTAAAACCTTTGTCTTCTTAATGGTGATATTTTAAAAAATACAGTTTGGGATTGGGCTTCCTCATCTGGATATTGGTTACTTTAACATGTGAAAAACATTCTGAAGCACAAACCTTTTATCAACAATTTGTGGTAAAGCTTTCCATCTTTCATCCAGCTCTTCAAATTTTTCTTTTATTGTTTTCACACAATGCTCTGAAGCTGTTGGAAATAACGACTCATTTAACTGTAAAAGGCTCTCATAGACTGAAGTATGGGACTCAATATCTGCTCGCAAATCCTGGGATAACAATGGAATGAAAAACTTTTAGATTAAGCATGGCACCATATTATGCAATGTAACAAAAACTAATGAAAAAACAGCTGCAGATTTCCAGTACAGTACTTTGAGTAAAGTAAGTGAGCAGAGTCAAATCCTTGGAGGAATTGAGGCCTATTGGGACAAGCAGGTACTCAACACCTCTCAGACAGCTAAATTCAGTAGGGATTCATCAAAGTTGGTCTTTTTCTCTCCTTTAGGACAAAGTGTGACTTTCCCATACAGCTCTACTGTATGATGGCAGTGGTTAAAATTGACAGCAAGTTTTGCAACAGATTTTGTGTGCAGCAAGAGAATTGTGAGGAAATGTTGCAAACTGGTCCAAACAAAGCAGAAACAAAAACAAAAACCAAACAATAAAACCCCCTAAACCACCACCACCAAAAACCAGAAATTCAACCCCCCCCCAAAAAAACCCGAAAACAAACAAAAAAAACCCCAATAACAAGCAACCAAAACAGCAAACTAATCCCCCCAAAAAACCACAAACCCCTCAACAACAACAAAAAAAAAACCCAACCCCTCAATTAATTTTCCTTTTCTTCAGTAATATTTAAAACTGACAACTTGGACTACTTGGCTTCAAGGAAGGTATAAAAGATGCTACATTTAACCAACTGCTTCATACCAATCTAAAAACAAATGGCAAAAATTCAAAGGGAAGGCATAATGAAGAGGATGAAAGTCTTGTGTTTGAAAAAAAAAATCAGAAATCAGACATCCATTGTGATTTCAAAACCTTCGAGCATTTTTCAGTCTAAGAGCCTTTTCTCACATGCAAAAACAAAAGAAAAGAAGTATTGCCTAATAAATGAATTTCTCTAGAGAAAGGATCTTCTGACAATGTCCTTCCTTGAGAGATAGTAGGATATACCAAGGCTCCTTTTTTTTTTCTTTAGCTGGCATATTATAGTTAAAAGTAATAGTAAAGTCATTGAGAAATAGCAAGTGATGATGTAATACCTCCTAGGAGATTTGCAAAGCCCCAAATCAATTGACTTGTCAGATTAGAATTGAGTAATTCCTTCCTTTAAAAGACACATAAGTACACCAGAAAATGCAGGACAGTATTTCAGTTGAAACATACCTGCAGTGCCTGCAGTTCACCTTCCAGCTTAATTCTGTCAGCAGAAACATACTGCTCTGAGGGCCTGCCTGTAGCTTCACACCCTTCCAACCAGGCCAGGAAGGCAGACAGCTCCTTCTCCTGCCTAGAAAAATCACAACCTAGAGTTACCAAGTCATCCTCTCAGCCTTACACACTGACCAACAAAGTCACTGTGTCCATCACAACAGATGTGAGAGTTTACTCACTTCTGCCACTGAGAAAGAAGATTCTCTAATAACCTCTGCTTCTCCTTAGCACTTTCCAGCACTTTTTCATATTTCTGCTGTAATGCTGTGACCTCTTGAGCAGCTTTTTCTTTGTTGGACACCTTTCGGACACCGGCTGAGAGAGAGGCCAGAGGGTTGCTCAGTTTTTCCACAGTATGACAAAGGTCCTAGTGAACATGCAAAAAAAAAAAAAGTCACACACATAAACAACAGAATTATGGTAGCAATGGTGGGAAAAGTTCTCTAGTTCTAATCATAAGTTTGAAGCAATGCTACATCCACCAGATCATGAAGTCACTTCATAGCTTAGATACTGCTCAGGTCCACCCTAGGTACCTGTGTCCCCAGCATACCAATGAACTAGATTGTAGTGGCAGAAGACTTCCCTAGGAACAGTGCTAAAGGGAAAGTCTTTGCAAAAAGAGTCAGATCTCCTGCATGGGCATACAACACAGCATCATCCATGTAGGACAAAGTTCCAAATTCAGGAAGAAGCTTGAAATTCCCTCATGTCTGTCTAAGAGTTGCTCTAATTTAAACAGAGTAAACTCAAAACCTCACTCCAAGAGGTGAGGGCTGCTGGACTTGCGACCAATGTCCTGACATGGGAGAAGTAGGGAAGAGCTATTTGGAATTTCCATCAGCATTACCTAAAGGGTCTTTTCATAGAAGTGACATCTAATGTTAACTACATTTTCCAGTGTTGCTGTTTCTAGAAAGCTGGGAGACTTGTCCATATGAAAATGACTGAGATGTAGCACAGTGAGTTAGAAAAGCACAAAATGAAACAGATTTAAGATCACAAAAGTTCCAACTCACAGCTGTGCAATAGTAACAACAATAGTTAATTGTTATAATTACAAGAAATCATATAAAGGACAAAATGTGAATTATACAGGAACAAGCTGCTGATACTTAATCATCAAGATACTTAATCATCATGATTCCCTAAAGAGAACAAGACCTTATAACAGCATACTCAGCATATTCATAATGTTTAAAAGTCAATAAAAATGGTGATTGCAAATGCTGCCTGAATAAATCCCCCATATGCAAAATACTTTTCCTCAACTAGCATCAAGCTTTTTTGAAGCAGACAAGGTCCCCCTTGAAAACAGCCTTTACAAGCAGTTATCAGTTACTAAGTCCAGAAGACATTATATGCATTTTACTGCAAGAACAAGATGACTAAATTTTTTGTAATATTTTCTTAGAAAGAAAAGCAATGATTATAGTTGAAAAAACATATCAGAACTTACAAACAAAAATACTACACCAAATTCCCTGAGATTGGATTATTTGTAGTTTGAATACCAATCCAGTATTTGTTTTCCCTTTGTAATGGTCTGAACCAAATATCCAAATACCCATGGATTCCTAGAATTACAGATAAAAATTTCTAAGTTGCAACTCTGTCCAGTCTCTTCACTGCCCAAGAAAAATTACTTCCAAGGACATATTTTCTTTCATCACAGGGTTACCTATACCAAAATCCAAGTTTCATGAAAACCTTAGAAGAAAAATATGTAAAAGACTTGTTTCTTGTCTCTTGTTTTTCATAATGTTTTAGAAGCATAAAGTCAAAACCAATAACTTGAAGGATTAAGTTGTATTTTCAGGCTTTCTTTCCAATCTTGTCTGAAATGGTGACAAGAAATAATTGAGGAAGTACTTAAGCCTTCCCTGAAGCTGCTCACACAGACAGGCAGCCCTTGCCTGCTTCTGCCTTCGCCCTGAGCTGTGTGGCAGGGGGCAGCCCCTGCTCTGGGGCATTCCTGGAAGGGGGTGAGTGTGACACCGTGTCCCTGGGGTCAGTGCCAGGAACAGCTGGCCACACGCTCACCGTGCAGTCCTGAAGGGCTGCGTATGTTGCTGCTGCCGAAGAGCACGATGTGAGAGGCTCAGCAAGCTTGGCTTCAAATTCAGACACTGACTGCTGCACCTATATGAAAAAAAAAAAAAAAAAAAGGCAAACCAGAAGCTAAAACCAGCAGGAATTACATAAATGATTCTTTAAATAACATCTTTTACATGTTTGCTGCTAAGAGAATTTTATATCCTAAACCTTGTAGTGCTGAGTGCCTTTTGAAGTTAAAAGATGCTAACAGTGCTCAATTCCTCCCAGCTGGAGCAATAATAATATTTAAATTATTTTCTTTACAACCTTCTATCAACCAAAGAATGAAGTTAAAAGTGTTTATAAGAAGTATGGATATGGCTCAACTGTGCAATATCCAGGAGAATAACATAGACTTTCTAGAAGACAACATAATTTTTTTGAACGTGTATATATTACTGTCTTCTGAAACTGCCTTTTAGGTAATTTAAAGCACAAATTTATGTATCTAGGTCTCGCAATTCCCTCACAAATACACTTATTTATTTTAGTCCATTCTTTTATAATGTACATTTTATAGTCAATTTTAGAAAAATATAGAATAATTCTATAAATTGCTGCAAACAATCCATTAAATTTTTCATAGTCTACCTGTTTAAGACTTTCTTCATATTTCTGCTGTGCTGATGCATTCCCTGTGATTGTTCCTTCCAGTCTCTGTGCATGATCTCTTAGTTCTTCCCAATACCTTTTGACCTGAGTCAGTTTGGCTTTTATATGTGCACGTTCTCCAGAGGTAACAAACTGGGAAAAAGACTTGGCTTCTTCTTCTAGATTTGAGATTCCATTTATTTTACCTTCTATCTCTTTATTAATAACCTAAAATGTAAAGCAGTAGTAAAAAGATTGAAAATAAGTTTATAATTATTTTAAAAAAAATCCAACTCCTTTTTTTATTCTGTGCTACCAACGTCCTTCATCAAAAAATTACGTGAGAGGAGAGTTCATTGACCACTTAAAATAACTAGTTACCATAGTCTTTAATATGACCTGTAAATACCACTTTTCTTTTTGAAACTATCACTGGAAAAGGTTTTAAATACTGACTGCCCTAGAACCAGTGTGTATGAAGAGCAATTAGAATTGGCTGAGGTGCATATTTTCAAGCAGACAAGATGGCTCATATTTTAGCATCTCTTATGTCACAGGAAGGTAGTACACAATTCTCTTCAAGATTAAAAATAAACAGATGGAAAAACATGACTGTGTCACTGAAAACGTACTGTCAAGGAACTAAACTCTAACAGTTGGTTAGTTGCGTTTAATACGTTTTCAAGCACTTACCAAATAAAACATGCCATGACTAGAAAACAGTAGAGATTGTTTTAATTTTCTAATTTAAAAGGTATAATAATGGATAAATTAAATTAGATCATGAGTGTGCCCTTAGGCAGAAGATTAAATAAAGAACCACATTACAGTGGAAATAGGAAACCATGAAACAAGGGTGATAATGGTTTTTGGCAAATTTTTATCTGCCCTGTACCTCAATTAGTAAATGCATAAAGACAAACTTGCAGCGGCTTTACATTTCAGCAACTGTCTCCTATTATTTTGCATTTGTCTTATTACAAATTAGAGGCAAACTTGGCAGCTACATCATCCAAAAATGAAACTTATAGTGTTTCTCATTTAGTGGCTATTTATTCAGTTGGCACCAATGAACTTGGAATGAACTTTTTTCCCACAACAGGCTTTTTTTAAAATTACTGCTGATGTATCATGTCCACAGAGTTCTCAAAAGCAATAGAAGCCACCCATTGGAAGAGATTTGAAAGTTCCAAGTGAGTTCTTTGAAATTGAAAAAGGCAATAGCATTTTCAGATAGAAAAACTTTAAAGATACATATGTACATGAAAACAACCAAAAACTTTCTTGAAAATGCACTCTCAAAACATAGGTAGTGCCCGGCTTCTAATATAATTGTAATAAAAATCTCTTCCTTCTAAAGCCATTATAAAGCTCAGGAGTGGCTTACTGCAACATTCAGTCAAAAATTAGCAGGGCGACTGTCAGAAAAAAAAAAAAAAAGTGGTGCTGTAAGAATTTATAGTTTCTCTTTATGCAATATATTCTGAATTAATTTGGATTATAAAATATCTTTTTTTTTTTTTTGCATGAGAATATGTTGCTGAGGAAAAATACTGGATTTGCAGCCCTGAAGCTGAAATTATCTAACAATGCAGCAGATACAAATGAGGCAGTGCTTTCTCACTCCTACGCTATTCTGTTAAATTCACTCAGTTACATAAAAGAAGGTGGATAATTGAGGCTTTCAAACTCGCACTGAGTCTGCCACCAATGGTAACTACTTGTGATAACTGTCATTTTGTTCCACCAGGAATTTCAGAGAAATGTGTAGGTGAAAATCTGGCTCTGCTGAAGTCACTGGGGCTTTGCAATCAGCGTCACCAAAAGTAGAATATCACCACCACCACCACCACCACGCAGGATAATTACATTCAGCTGACATCAGGCTTTTTATCTGGTCAGCCAAAGGTATCAAGAAGCACACTATATTTTTGTCATTTGCCCTATGTTGAAATGTTCCTTACTAATGTGGTGTAGTAGAAATTATGTGCTAAGTATGCTGATTAGTGTTGTGACACAAGGTAGCTTATCAGGAAACTTACAACGAAACAGAAATTCTTCAAAATCAGGCACAAAGCAATGCTGCTGAAGCAGATCTCCAGCTATGTCCATGCATTGGAGGTGAGATGATGTGTTTCACATATCACAGCTCATAAAGCTCATCAGTTCACCTGAGGTACAATGCTGTACCCTATGCCTTATGAGGAGGATTTTCTGTTTTATGTCTGTGCACTCAGGTGTTCATAAACATCATCTGCTGACCACAGTGTTTAAATGTATAAGAATTATGATGGAATTTTCAGAAACTTTCAATGCAGTGCAAAAATCACTGCTTATCTGCATCTGTAGTGAGGAACAACCTTTCTGGGAACTTGGTTGGAATAGGCTAGCGGGGCTTAATAAGGCTCCATTTAGACAGACAAGAACTAACACATTGTAATGCAATATTAGCATCATTTGGTGCACTTATTTTCTGTCTTAATCACTGGAATCCCATCCACTAATTACTGAAAAGCAAGACAACACTATAATATATGCCAGTAGAATACGTGAATACACATTATTTCATAAGGAAACTGTTTTTGAATTGCTGTGATGATGAAGCAAGAATTCAAGCATTGTATTGTTCTTCACTGATGAAGTAAAGAGATTTTATTTATTTAGTCTTTGTAAAGTTGTGAACAAACTAAGAACAGGAAAATCTGTTAATAAACTGTTTCTGTCACATGAAACAAGTGCCTAATAGGATCCTTTGGAAATAGTGTCAAGCTGGTCTGCAAGCAGCTGCACACCTGTGCACCTCCTGAAGAACAAGTAGGTCAAAGAAAAAAGAAAATGGCAACAGTGCACTGCCTATTGAAAAACTCTGTACCCTAAGAAACACGCCATTCCAGAGAAGGTACATTTTCATTTGTGGAAGGATACAAAGTCAGCCCTTGAAAAGCAATGCTTGGAGACAATATGCACCTCAGTCAGCAGTTTGAAACTAAACCACTCTGTAACTACATGAACGTACACAGAAGTGAAGACAGTGCAAATACAATCACAGTAAATGTAGATTAGTAGGTTTTCAAGCTACCAAGAGCAATAGTTTCTTTATTAATTCAGCATAAAAGATACATAAATCAAGTTATAACTTTAGCTTGCAAGATTAAAATCAAGTTCTATAGCAACTAGCTGGTGTATGTTTTAAAAAAAACCCAACTTGTATTTATGTAGCTGCTTTGTTGAGATTACTCTAAAAATCAGAATGGTATAAATTATGTTTCTAACCATACACACAAAGACTTCATACATGGAAAGTAAACACCAAAAGAGAAGGTAGCCTGTAAGAATTTTGCCTTAGTTTATACAGGATCTTACTGTTTGGTATACTCATGTATGAAATGTGCTGTCATTTCGTCATGGTACTCTTGAAAAAAGTAAAATGTCTCTTTTCTCATTTGGCCTCTAGCAAAATAACAGCTAAATGGGCTTTTAATACTAAACACAATAAGGACTAATCACCTTGATTTGGCTGATCTGTATGTCCAAAGGAGATGAAGATGTTTCCAGAGTTTCCAGTTCTTTTTCTTGTTCAGCTATCCAGATGGACAGAGCTTCAAAATTATTGCCAAAATGATCCCACTTGTTTTTCACCATTTCCATGCTTTTAATACTAAAATTGACCAAATCAATTAGAGAGAATAAACAGTTTAATATAATGAAGCTGCCCATATTCTTGCTAAAATAAAAATGGAACTTATTAAATCTACAGGAGGGTAATTTTAAAAAGTTCTCATTTTAGAGGATCAAATTGCGCATCTAAATTCAAACATGGAGAACGTGCTCTTAGACCACACACCAAAAGTCAATCAAATGCATTAGCAAGAGGGGACATTGAGAGGTAAAAGAAAGTACAGCTTTATTCATCAGCTGTACAAGAATCTCATCATAGCAGGAAGAGAAAGGAACATCAACAGGATGAAGTTTCTATGAAATAAAATGGAATGATGATTACATCAGAAATCTAAATATTTAGATAACTGAGTGCACAGATATTCATAATTTAGTCCCTAGAATGATTAAAACCAGTGAAATGTGGACATACACACAATCACCAGTGCTTGACTGCTTTATTGATCTTGTTTTTTGTAACAGCAATCTCCCCCTCCTATAGGAAGTTGGTGTTTGCTGTGGCGATGATTTCACATCAAGCCAAAGAATTAACAACACATGTGACTCAACTCCCTCAGAGTCAGCAGTTATACATTATAGGTATGTTAAACAGAGACAGATTATGACTGATTTTTTTCAATGCCTAGGATTGCAAACAAAGCCCCTCTTTTTTGTCACAAGTGAGGCTATTATACAAGGCCTAACAGCATTAACTTCCAGTATACAAGTTTCTGCTCCTTTCAAGTAATTGAAACCAGTGCTAATGTAGGCCCTGCACATTGCTTGCAAAACACACATTTTATATTTCACTGAAAATATTAAAGTTTCATCATAAAAGTTTGAATATTACAAAATTTCAAAATACATTTTCCTCCTAAATAAAGCCTAAAAACCATTCCATGGTAAAAAAGTTTTTAACTTTTTTCCCCCCTCATTAAAGCTAGAGGAAGCTTTAAGAAAAGATGTAGCCTAAAAATGTAAAATCGCCTTTTCATTTTTTCTTATTTATTTTCAAAATTAAAAAAAAAAATAGGAATGTCAACAGCCATTTACTGATAAGAGTGTATGCAAATTCAAGTTATTTGTAAGAAAACCACGTGCAAAAATATTTAATTCAAGTCCAGCTCATAAAAATACAGCTGGAAATCAGAATTGAGGGACCAAATTAGTGTCACAACTGCAGTTGTATGCCTTTGTTGGAGTTTCTTTAAGAAAGCCACAGACTGTGAAGAATATAATCCCAAACACACTGTAGAGCTCTGCATGATCTCCTTGGAAAACAGATGGTCTAAGTTGTTACAGCAGCTGACTGTGGAGAGCTGCTCAAACTTTTCTCTCCTTTTCCTGTTCACTGGCATCCTATGTAACTTATGAGTTTGGAATAAATTCACTTTAAATTACTGGCCAAACTTTTTTATTGATGATGCAACTTAAAAAGTAACTCTTACACACTTGCTATGAGTTCTGTAGATACCCTATAGATAGTTGTATGCATTTGCATCTTTTACAGAAGGTATTTTGCTTTTTATTATCTGTCACACTACCACAGACATTCTGTATAATCTATACATTCAACTGAAACCTATTTCATATCTACATTAAAAGGGTATATCAATGATGACTTTTATTTAAAAATAGATTACTTTATTTAAAAAGTAAATATTCATTGCAAGATGAGGAACTTTCTTAGGTTGAAAAATCACACTAGGTTTCTCTCTAATAGTGGAGAAAATGAAGTGCAAAGTATTTAGTAAGAGATTGTAGAATTTGAAAATCACTCTAGCACTTCATGCTGGAGAAAGTAGTACATAAATGGTCAGACTCTCATTTGCTGCACAGGCTAGTTGTTCTAGTTTATAGCTGTTATTTCACATCAGGAAGAAAATAACACTGAATTAAAATCTGATTACCATAACAGTGGTCATTCTGAGGAAAAAAAAACAACCTCCAATTATTTTGGCACTGCCTTTTGCTCGTATTCTGTTCAAGGTGATGGTAACCTGCTTAATCTTATACAGCAAAATATTCTAGAGAGTAATTCCAATAAGACAAAATATAAATGGTACAGGTATCTATGACCTGTGTATCAGATTTACTGTATGCAAAAATAGTGATTTCATACATACATTTCAATGTGTAGGGATAAAATGAGAGTAGCAAGATTCTGAATTTGAGTAACAAGTTCAATAACTGAATTTCTTACTTGAGAGAAGGGAAGAATTTTTTACTAATACAAAAAACTACAAATATTTTTCAAGTTTTCCTTGGAGTTTAAACATTTCATTTTTAAACAAAATTTGGAAAATTATGCCTTTGTGTTTTTTGGCAGGAGAAGCAGCTTTTGATATTGCCCATGAAACACAATCTGGGCATTCAGCTAAGATGAAGGCACTTCTTGACACTCCTATAAAGAAAGTGGAATACTGAAAAATGAGGCAAATATGGTAAATGTGCTGCTCTAATACTCTAACTGAGATTTTTCTTTCCAAAAGAGTTCAGTACCTCAAGAATGAGCTCAATTATTCCTTCTTCACAAGACTGGGGCTTAAAGATAAGTGACATGTTAAATGTAACTAACTTTTATGAACTACATATAATTAAAATAAAATAATTTGTTTGCACACACTCTTTTGACATATTTCGTACCATAACTTGGTTACTATGCCAGAGCAAGCAGTAAATGACAGAGCTGATGAGACAACACAAAATGCTGACAAGGTAGTCTAGAAATCTGGTACAATCTAATAAATATTAGGACTTGTTAAGAACATACTCTTCTTCAAGAGTAACTTCCACTTTTTTCACTTGTTCTTGGATTGATTTTGCCTGATGCTGAAGGGACTGCTTGTTCTTTGAACCAAGCTGTATCTCAGAGGAATTCTTCACCAAATTCTCAGCCTGTACTGCCATTGCTTCTGTTTGTTTAGAAAGTTCCTGTAAGGATGCAAGATGTATTAATACAACTATAGAGTTTAATATATTTACACAAGAAGTATTTTTCCTCAATGTTTATGGTTGGAAAAAAGTATCCATGTCCTACATGCATATTCTGAATGTGTAAATACATAAAAGCAATCTCAGAAGAAAGTTAATTTCATGTTGCATTTAAGAAAATTCTATTTGAGCAAACTAGATTGAATTAAATTTATCAAGGGACACTGTATGCGCAAAGGTTTTTAACTCAAAAAGTGGAAGTCCCTTCTGTAGCTCTTCAAGAAATTTCTTTTTGCATTGCAGAAGATAATATAAATCTTTACTTAATTTTTACATCCCAGCATTTATCAAGTGGATTTTGCAGTACCTCATATTTTGTATTTTCAGTTCATTTAGCAATTATTTTCTGCCACAAACATTACACCCACACACCAGAACAATCAATGCTGAGCATAATCAAGGTAGGTATAATTTATTATTGGCTTCATCAAAGGTTAACAGCAGTGTGTAAACCATGGCACTCAGGCACTGTTATTACTTCTGTAACAGAAAATAAAATGGGCCAGGATAATTCTGTGTTACTAAGGGCAAATGGCATGTTATGGCTTTTGTCCATGGGGTAGACATTTCTCCTTTTTCTCCTCAGGGCTGAGAGTGCTATTTATCACATTCCACACAACCTTGCCAAAATGCACCCTAATAATGTTGTCATGCCAGTGCTTCACACTGGATTACCAGCATAGATGATTATTGAGCATAAAATGTGAAGTCCTCAAAATAATATTAACTTTCATACATATGCTTCAGATGCAGACTTTGAGAAATTCTTCATGGTTTGTTGTTTTTTGTTGGTTTTTTGTTGGGTTTTTTTCACAAAATGACTTTTTACCTCTAAAAAGTTTATGCAATCTTTCATCTGTATCTGCAACTTGCACTGGCATTAATGGGAAACCATGCAAAGTTTGAAGGCAATGCACTCAGCCCATGTTGACAGGCAAGGCAGAGAGATACCTCAGTTCCTGCATTTCACACAGTCAGTACCTTTGTCTGATCCAGTTCTGAGGAGAGGCTCTCTAAACTGCTAAAGTTTAAGATACGTTCAAGTACAGAGCTTGCTTGATTGAGATATTTTACTACTGTTTCTTTGTCTCTTTCAAACTGCTCCCATTTATTTATTGTGACCTAAAAAAAAGACAAACAAAACCAAAAAAGGAACACAAGATCAAAGGGAAGAAAATGAGATTTTACTTGTACATTACTGAAAAAGGAAAAAATAAAGTCTTGACACAAAATAATTAATTTTCCTGTGAAGCCATCTACTCAACAGTGAGTAGATGAAACTCTTCTAAACCAAATAAAACTTTGTCCTTGAATGTTTGCTGATTCATATTATGCTGTGCTAAAAAAGCACTGTTCTCTATGCTGCCAGTAATATTTAAATCTTATATATGAATGTCCTGTAAGAAATCTAAAGTAATACATGCAGGGACTTTGGATGACAAGTAGTGAAAAATATCAAAAGGATTTTCTAGTTCTTTAATGAAATAAATTACAGTAAAATGATAGAAGAAAATCCCTACTCATAGGAAAATCATACATAAGGACCTATTTGCTCTTTTCTGATAATGCATAATTTTGATTAACCTACAGCATTTAATGACCAGTCACAAGAACTGTGACAGCTTAAACAATTATTTTTTTGATTCTGAAGAACAGATTAAAACTTTACATCTGGGAATTTTAGAGGAAAAAAAATTGTGTTTTGGTAATAAATGCTTATATCAAGAAGTTATTTGAAGTTTACTGATTGTGTTTCTCATCTTGTGTTTTCTCATGGAAAATAATTTTGGTGACTTTAAACATTTGCATGGAATAATGGCCATTTGGATTAACATTCTGCTTAGAAACATGTAAAGAGCAAATCACATACAGGTGCAAGAAGCTATAAATTCTAATCCCAGTTCAGTCCATGGTTAGTTATACAACTGAAGCAATCCATTTGATTCCCCTGTGACTTTCTCCTTCCTTCTTTAAATTTAGGATCACAGCATGTATTTCACATGATAGTTGTATGTGTAGAACACATCAGGTGTTATTAACCTAATAGCCAGCCTAAGGACACTCAACTAAAGAGCAATGCCATCTTTAGTAACCTGAAAAGAGACATCTAAAAATAAGTTCACAGATAAATTATTTAAAACAGTTAACTATTATGACTGAATGGCTTGGACTTAGATAGAATACTATTTCTTTATTATTTAAGAGGTATACAGCTTCAAGAAGTTTTCACAGAGGTACTGATCATGAAAACCCCAAGGACCAAGAGTCAGAGGTGAGAAAATGAGTTCAGTTTTTTGATATGAAAAAAATTTGGGGGTTACTAACTTTAAAAAAAAAGAGAATAAGGAAAGAGTAAGCATGAGGTCTTATTTCCATGAGCAAAGCACCCACCTGCAGTTGCTCCTCCCGTTTCTCCATAGTCTGCTGCATGTTCTCCAAGGTTCCCTCTAACTTTTGCAAATCCTCTCGTACTGTGCTGGGCAGTCCACCTTCAATCTGCAACCGCTTGGCTTGGGAAATCTGCTTTTGCACATCTTGCCTTTTTGCACGGAGTCGCCTTGTCCTTTGCTACAAGGATCCACCCAACAGGATTGGTTAGACTTTTTATCCCCTTTGGGAAACTGGCACAATACAGCCCCTTTCTGTTGTTTCAGGGGTATGCAATGAGAATAACAGACAAAGAGATAAACTGAGGCAAGGATTCTCGAGAGTCTCATACTCATCAAGTACACACCCTAGCTTCCAAAATGGCAAATGCTGCCTTTTTTGGCATGTGCATGTGAGAAAGAGTGAAAATGTGGCCATTAATCCCAAGCATACTTCAGAAAACAGAAGCTTCAGCAGTTGAGCAGCCACAGCAGGAGTCACAGGTGCATGTGTTCCTCATGACTGAATCCAGGTCTGCTCTGCACACTCCTGAGGCACAGTTTGGAGCCTCAGAGTGAATAAAGCAATATATCAGCCTTACTAGAGAGCAGCAGGGTGGGCTAAGTTGTGTAACTCTGTCCTGGAAGTGCTTTTGATTTGTAGCACTATCAGAAACTCAGAATATATCCTCTCTCCTCTTTAACATGCCTGACCCAGCCAGCCTTGCTAGGTAAATTCACAAATACCTCAATTCTATTCTGGGTACCTTCAAGTCTGTGTCAAAATCTGTTTCTGCCTTGGTAGACTCCATACCACGAAAAAGAGCTCAAGGAGAAGTTAACTATTTCTACTACCTCTCCTAAAATGGATAAAGAATGTAGAGTGTTTAAAGAATGAATAGAAACATTAACACATACAATAGTGCTTATTAACCCCAAAGAGTTTAGATAAGACACAGATAAGACATAGTAGTGATTGGTCAGAACTAAGCTGTCTGACTCCACAGAAATAGATGTTAACATAAAAAACTTCAGTAATGCCCAAACATTGGCAGTAATTTTTTTCCTATTCTTATTAGCTTTGAGCAGCTCAGAAAGTTTTTTCCCATATTTGGCCTTAAAAGCCATGATTCTTGCTGTATGCAAACCATGCCATTGATTATTACTGTAACCTGTAGATGTTTTGATCAGTGCATAAAAAAATCTCCTGTTCTACTCCTACAGAATGGAGGCCCATCTGTCACAAAAATAGCTACCAGAGCAGGAGATAAGACTAGAGCTACACCTTCCCTCCATTATTTAGGGTTGGAGCCATATCAAAATGCTAAAATAGAGAAACTTCCAAAGCCAGAATTGTGCCTAATTTACCATGACTGAATCTGAAATTCAAGCTATAAAAAGGTAAAAAGGGAGACTCTACATATTTGCAGAACACACACGCAAAATTTAAAGTGAAGGAATCTTGGTTTTCAGTGTTTTGTGTCCCAAAAACTCACATGAAATAAAAGTAGACAGTTAATGTTTAAAATGTTCTGAAAACATTTTTCATTTAAAGAAATTAATTCTAGGTCGTACAGGACTGTTTCCTTTTTAACTCTTTCAAGTTTAAATACAAAGACATATTAATGGACATAACAAAATTTTGTAATTACAAAAATTAGTCTTTAAAAAAAAAACGGATATGGACATAAGTAATTGCCCTACCTGATGATGAAGCAGTAATTGCTGAGCTTGTAATAAACTTTCTGTATCCAGGATCTTTTCAGCCTCTGCTTGGACTTCTTTAGAGTTGCTGATTAACTCTTCAATTGCACTTTTAACTTCTTCTTTGTACTGGACACAGTCTCCAACAGCACCTAAGGTATTTTCAATCTAACATCACAGATAACATTAAGTATTTCATGTTGAAAGACACATCTATATTTTAAGGGTACATATACATTTGGAATATGTTTTCAAAAATACAGTAAAATTTTTGTATTTAAAGCATTTTTATCTCTGGCACTTTTGACACCTTTAATTTCGCATCGAAAAAGTGTCTTTAGACTTAAAATGTGACTGGGCAAACCTTTGCCTTGTTCAAACATACTCCCTGTTACACTGCCATATGACAAATAGCCATCTGTGACAGCTACTCACTGGGGATCACTTAGAAAACTCACACTCTCCTATCCTTGCAGGCTGACCCAGATTCCAAAACACCGGCACTACTCAACATACAAAAAAAATTTGCTGCCATTTGGGCTGTCTTGAGCAGTATTTTGGTGAATCACAAATACATTAGAGTGCTGAATTACCCTGGTTTATGGACTGCAGTGTGGTGCAGTATCCAGTCTCAGCTTGCAGAATTTTATAAAGAAAGGTGTATCCATTAAACATATCAGAAAGTTCTTCTCTATTTGTGTATTTCAGCTAAATACAGATAGCTGACTCTCAGGCTGTGTTCATCAAATAGTTTCTGCGTTTTGAGGTTTTAATCATAAACTATTTTAGATTCTTTTCCTTTTTCTTTTTCCTGTTCCTTTCCTTACCTTCTTACTTTGGAGAGTCATTTGAACTCAAGCCATTTACTTCCCTGTTATACAAACATTTAGTTTTTTAGTCTCCAAAGCTATTGTTGAACTCTGCCAATACCCACTATCAGTCCTTGTCTAAAAAGTTTCATCCATCTGATTATTAACAAGTTTTATAAATAGTATTAAGACTTCAAAGAATTACTAGTTGTTTAACTATAATATAGAGTGCCATTTATATTATGCTTTAAGATTCAAACCAAGTATAGATTTGACCTCTTACTTTCTTATATTATCCTCATTAAGTTACTCTTTAACTTACCTTTAGTTCTGACTTTTAAAGGAAACCTAAACCAAGTGATTTATCTCCAACAATCACCCCAAAACAACAACATAGAAAGACAGTACCTTAGGCTTTTTACAGTCAGGTGGAAATTACATTTCTTGCCCAACTTTCCAAACAGTTTTCATGCCACAGACGTTTAGAGAACTTTCAGTAAATACATAGAAATTTTGTGCATTTGAAACCCCCTAGAAGGCCTCCACAAGAACTAACATTAGAAAGGAAATTTGAAGTCTGAATTCTTTCTCTCTCCTGAACCATTTTTTTTTTCTTTTAAGTTGGTCTATTTCACCTTTTAAGTGCGAGAGGTTATATGTCTCACCTGATTTTTCTTTTAACTGTATAAACTGTGAAGCAGTAAGTTCCCTGAGAGCCCACAGAACTCCAGGGGTCAGTGTTTCTGAGAGGTTTAGCTTGCTATGAGATAGAAATTTCCCATCATTTCTGCAGTTACATTACCTTATTTTCATTTATGCCTCAGAGAACTGCAGCCTTTTCCTGCAAGTTCAGGATGTGATACATACCCTCAGTGACTAGAAAGAACCTCAGAGTGCTTTATTTCAGCATAAAAGATAAATAAATCATGATTAAAGTGAAATTCTATATCCACTAGCTGATGTACAATATGGTTTTGACAATGTTCACTACAAACTCATTTAAAAAAAGCTAAAAAAAAGGGACATTTTGATTGCAGAAACATTTACTGGGATACTTTCCAATTCTGCAAAGGGAAAAGACCAACTATGATAATGTCATTTCTTTTTTGCCTGCTACTCTCAGTGCTTTGCTACCCATGGAGTACAGATTAATTTTTCCTTGCTGAAGGCTTGCAGTTTAATTAAAAAAACACAGCAGGGAACTTGTGCTTGTGAAGCCATGATTGATGTCTCTTCATGTCACACTGTAAGTGGAGAGTTCTTGTGTCCCTCATACTGTACCTCAGCCAGCAAATCCAGAAGTCTCTTGAAGTCACTGGAAAGTTTACAAAGCTCATCCTCTGTCTCTTTGGCCTCCAAATCAGGACACAGTGCAGTCAAAACAGCAAGTCTAGATTTCAGCCAGCTGTGATTTTCTCCATGCTTGTGAATGTGCTTCCTAATTTCCTACAGGAAAAAAAAATCAAAACATATTTTCTTCAAATAAACAAAATAAGTACATCAATACCTTTGAATATCAGTTCAAAAATCAGTACAGTAAACATACTACTTTTCTTTAGCTTGAAACACCAGAAATGTACCCTCAAAAACATTTATACTTACAGATAGATAGATAAATGGCAGGTACCACATATATATTTTCCATATATTGACCATATTTCTTAGCTGCAATTTAAATCTGAGTTTCTGACTTTCCCAAAAATATAATTTTATTCAATATAATGTTTGTGTATTTTTTTTCTTATTTAGGTTGCTTTTTTTCCACACACCTTTTCAACCTGTAGTTCATTTATATCTTTTTGGCAGTGCTGATGAGATGTTGGCAGAAGTCAAACTACGTGAGTAAATGAGACTTTTTGAAGTAGAAACACCCATTAAGCTAAGGATCTATCAGTTTATCAGTTTTATAAATGTCATCCTAATAATATTTGAAATAATGTTAATATAGTGTTAATTAGACTCATAACCTGCTCATGAATCCCATAAACACCTAAAGTATGTAGGTGCTCCTAGTATGTGAAATTTAAATAAAACAGAAAGGTTGAGTCCCAAGTGACACAATAAATTATTTCCTAAAACTAATTTAACTAACCAACTCAATCTTGAGCAATTCTGTAACTCTGTTACCAGTCACCAGTACAAAACTGAATGGAATATTTTTTCCTCCCCTCTTATACTACTGTAGAAGAGAATTTTTATGATAATATCCTTACATGAAAGTAATTAAATGGAAGATCACTCAAAAACCTGCAGTCCAGAAATTTTTGATTTTCTTAAGCAGCACTTTTAACTGCATGCAATAAGATGAGGGGCTAGTATTTTTTCTATCTGCCCCTATATTTGTAATGTTCTAAATATAGAGGGAAAGGGACCTGTCACACTCTAAACCATTAAAAGAACTTCTTTCACATTTTGCTGTAAGGTGCAACTTTCTCCAGGTAATGCTTTGAAGAATACCAGGGATCAACAGAGCTGTGGTCTCTCTAGTAAAACAGTTGCACTACTTTGGAGCAGAATTTTATCCAGAATCCCAGTAGCAATGACCACAGCTTTGTTAGAATATAAGCCAAGGGCTCACCCCCACAGATGCTTTACACTGCTTGTATTTGGCTGTATCGTTAGCATTTTCCTTTATCTTCTTTAGCTCTCTTTCTGTTGATGAAATCCAATTTTCCAATTCAGAAAATCTGAAATAAGACATCACAGGATTAAAAAAAAAAAGAAAAAACAAAAAGAAAAAAAAAGGGTTAGACTAAAATTTTCACCACAAAACAGCAATCTCTTAAGTGTAGGCAAAAAGGTATAAAATCCACTTGAAGCCCCACGATAATTTATGGAATTACTACACAAAGTAGTGTTTTCCACTTGAAGCTAGAATCACAGAATCATTGTTTCTACAGTACTGATCTATGATGACACATAGAGTGATATGCAGAGCCATTCATAAGGCTCTGCAAGACCCAGGTAGGAACTGAGGTGGCACCTGCTCTTATAGCCCTTCCAGGTGTCTGAGTGCTCTGTTAGCTTCATGTATGTGCTGTCTATCTGGGATTTCAGATCCTTCAGGATTCGCTGGCTGCTTTCCAATGTACCCCTCACTGGATCAGAAACTGGCAGCTTTTGGCACAGTTCTTCCATTCGTTGTAGCCTTTTCTCACATAGGTGGTAAGATCCCTTATCACCAAAGAACAACTGATGGGAGACAAAGCAGAAAATTCAATAGAAATACAGACTGGAAGAAAGCATAAAGCATATACATAAATTTTTCATAAACCACTAAACTAAAATAATTTGTTGTTGTTGTTGTTGCATGGAACTCATACCATGTGTTCCTTGATCATTCTTTCATTGCCTTCTCTTGTTAACACCTTGTTCTGTCGAGCTAGTTCAGCTTTGCACTCCTCCACTGTCACCAGGAACTTGCTTTTCTGTACTTCAATTTTCAAGTGGATCAAATGATATGGGGCTTCTGCTTGAAGATCCTACACAGGGGCAATAAAGAAATACAGAGATAAAACGCTACTCCCACTACTTCAGTGTAAACTTTCTACAGATAAATAGTATAAAACCTGATAATATAGAAAATAAAGCATACATATCCATGAACAAATACAGGCTTGTCCATGTTCACTTTGTTACCAATGTCTTAGATTTCTCAAAAGTTCATAAGTTGTCACCAAAATGTGTGTGTATAAGGCACTTCACAGAGCCATCTTCATTCTTGGCAAGACATAGCAAGCATTTCCCGTGTAAAATAGTATTCACAACTACTTCCAGAGGTTTCTGCCTGCCTGCTAGTGAGACCCCTTATCCATCACTCCAACTCTGACCAGCAACATGCTGCAGCAGGCAAAAAATTCCATAGCTGGTGAGCAAAGTTAGTTCAGTTGTTAGTCTTTGGCAGAAGACACAATTTAGGCTGATGGCCTGACGTCTTACAAATTTGTTTGTTTGGTCAGGAAAGTAACTGTAATTATCCAACATCAGCATAAAGGAGAAAATGTAAACACCTCTTCACACAGGTATTATTATGGCTGTATGTAGCAGGGGAGAAATAAGGTTTTATAATTACATTTCTTGAATTTACTTAACACATTTCTTGAATTTACTTAACTGAGTTTTTTTCAAATGGCTATCTGTAGGTGTAGTGGTATCCAATATTGTAAAATACTTTTTTCCAATTCTATGAGAAGCCAAAAAATACAAATTATTTTGTTTTGTTTAATTTATTTTTTTTTTCAATATATAGGTCATACTTTCCAAAACTAAGATTGACAGTACCCAGAGATGTCATTCACTAACCTTCCACTGCCTATGGAGTTTCCTCACAGCTTCCTGCAGGCTGTGTTGTTCTTGTTCTGGGAGGATATCAGTAAGTTCATCGCATGCTTTCAGAAAGGCATTTAGAACTCTCTGATCCAACTGGTTAAAAAATTCCTGAAGTGGAGGCAGAAAGGGAGAAGCTGAGATGATGAAGCTGGATATTATTATGCCAACATGAAGTTCCTTAATACACACTCTAAGTTTCAATGTTACTTGTGTTCCATTGAAGAACTGATGTTTGAATAAAGAAAAAAACTACTTCTAGACACTTAAAGTCCAGCAAATTAATTTATTCTCAGCCAGTACACTGAGATGGTATTTTAACAAGAATACATTTCAAAGCTACATGCGTAAGTTATGGTTATAATATAGAAACAGGTATTAATCTAAGAAAAAGAGCAGTGGATGTGTGAGATTGTCAGTGGTTCTACTGAAAACCCCACCCTAGGTTTTTTCACCCTCTGGTTATTTACATCCAATCTCACATCAATAAGTGAGCTGATCGTTTTCCTTTTTGTTTTTCAATATTAACATTAATTTGATCTGATCTGTTTAACTTCTACACATGAAAGGAATCCACATCAGTTTCAGAATTAAGCAGGCCTTTATGTCATGCACTCAAAGATTTCCATGAGGAAGAACAGAGAATTTACTCACGCTATGTTTCCTGAGAAGTTCTTCAGGATTTCCTTTTTCTTTTAAGCAACAATTGGCAATCTGTATTACTTTCTCCAGTTCTGCTCTAGACTCCTCAAATTTCTTCATCAAACGGCTATTTGCTTCTATGTTTTTTCTCCACTCACCAGCTTTCCTGACCATATTCTGAGTCACAAGCAAAGAAAATGAGCTGGCACTTTCACACTTTTATTTGCTCTCTTTTACCATGACCTTACAAAACATGCATTTCATTTGTGTCACTCTTTTAAATACATGCTTTTCACCATGCTTCTCCTTCTCCTGATCCCATCTTCCCAATTTCTCATACTGAGGCTTGTGCTAATGTCATCATTCAAATAAAAATTAGTAGACGAGATGTCTCTGGTATTTTCATAATGCCTCTGTCATTTGATTAGTGAGTTTCTTTCCTAAAGCCTGCTCTCAAATGTAAAGCACCTGGTACTCAGGAGGTTGGCATTTCACTTTTCCTAGCATTAAACTACCTCCCCTAACATGACTCAAAGTGAGGATAGATCCAGCCAGTTCCATCCTACAGTTCTTCTGACCTGGAAGAGGTTTGTATGATCACCACACCAGAATGTCAGATAAGTAACCAGGCACAAAGCTACTTAGAAGACAGCAAATATTGTGGTTTAGTTGCTGAAATCCTCATTTTGCAACCCTAGTCCATCCCCATGCACTGCAATCTGCAGTGGTTCCAATTTCATGAGGAAGTAAAGAAAACTTACCAGGAGAAATGAACAGTTCAGCACCTCAACTGCACTTCAATCCCTGCTTACTGTATATCCACTTCACCATTCTCACTGATCACAAAGCTCAGCATAAGGAATTTTAGTGAGTTTACCCAGCCAGCTAATCAAACCTGAGGTTCTCAACTTAAACATCTTGCTAAATCTTTTTAAAGTTTTCTGATAAAAATAACTGCGTAGTAATAGGATTGTATAGGGAAAATTTTACATGGAAAACTTTATATGAAGGCAGTTTCCAGTATTTTAACTCCAGGTATTCCACACTTCGTATGATTATATCCCTATTTTATAGGTCTATTTTCTAACAAAAAGAGAGATAAACCACAGTCCAGCTTAATAGAAACAGATGATGAATAGATAATGTTGATAATGTAATAAATAATGAAGATAATGTTGAACATGGTAAATTTACCAAGTGCATCTGCTTTTTGCTACAACAAGCTGAACTTAAACAATTATTTCTATGTTGTAAATCAACTACAACTTAAACTTTGGTATACTCCACAAAATATAATATAAATTTTGAAATTCACCTCTCAAAGAGAGCTATTTACTGATAGGTGATTTTCTGCAGTTTAAAATTCAGCCTGGATAGATTTATACTGAACAAAAATTCCCTGAAAATAAATGTAATAGAACCCATTACGTGGAAATCTGACTCTAAGACAGTCACAAAATCACTGAATATGAATGGACACAAAGATCATTGAGTTAATCTCTGGCTCTGCACCAGACAGCCCCAAAAAAGTCAGACCAGGTGTAATGGCTAACTTCACGTTAGAGTGGGGCTAGACTGGGGCTGAACAGCCCTGAAAATTGCAATAATAACTAAAAACAAGAGGTAAGGGGGAAACCCTTAAGACCACAACTTTGCATTATCAAATGCAACATATTTGCAGCTTTCTATATTCACAGTCTGTGAAATAGAAATGCACAGTCTGCATTTTCTGAGGAAATACAAAACCCAGCAATAGCATGTGCAAAAGTTTCTATCTTCCATGCTTTGTGTGAAAGGGGATGTGTGAGGATATAGAAACAAATGATTAGCCAAGATAATAAAGTCAGGAGAAACAATAAACAGTGTAGCTCTAACAGCTTGATATCAGAGAGGAGAGTTAGCCAGGAGAGCAGCTACAGAGTGATGAAATGTAGGTATGGTAGGACAAATCACCTGAATATGAAGAAATTTTCAGAAATATGCACCAAGGCATGATATTTTTACCTGAAAAGTGATCTGAACTTGTGTAACTTTCTTCTGAAAAGTTGACTGATGGAAATGCTGTAAGACCTCAGTGGAAGCCACACACTGAAGGATACTCTGACTGTTTCTTTCAATTAGGGACACATCTTTCTTGCAGTTTTCTTGATAAGCTACCAAATCCTGAAAGAAAAAAAAAAACATATATCCACCCTGGCCAGGAACAAAGAGGAAAAAGATTTGGCAAAATAACAGGAAGATGCTTTTTGACAGTAAGGACCACAAAGGGATGAGGTCAAAGCACCATGGCAAACAGACTACACAAAATATGATATGGAATACCACAGATGATACAACTTTCTCCTTGGATGTGAAGTATTGTACCCAAATAGATTTCTAGCTATCATAAAACAATATAAAGACATGTACCCAAGCCCTCTGGGTAGCTGTAGAGAATGTAGGTCAATTGTTGTTCTGTGATATAATTTTATGGTATTTCTATATTTATTGTATAAATGTAGGTAAGCAACAGTGACATAGGAATGACAGCTCTCAGTAGCAGATCTCAACCTTCCTTGCCTTTCAACAAATGAGTCCTTCCTGTCAGCTTTTGGAATTCAGATTTCATTATAAATCACATTAAATTATGAAAAATATACTTCAAAAAATAAAAGAGAGAAAAAGAAAATATGCATGAAATAGTACAGGCTGAAAAAAAGGTTTTAAAAATCCTATTTTCATTTAACTTTCCGAAAGACTTCTGACTAGCTCTGAATCCCTTCAGAGAGAAATGCTTATTAGCCATGAAGAGAAGTTAATGTTACACTACAATTAATTTCAAAAAAAGCACTTTTCCAAGCCTCTAAGAAACTTCCATAATTCTCCAAGGAAACATAGCGAAGTTTCTGAACATGATTTTTCATCTGCTTAATAAAAAATCCAATGTATTTATATTAATTCAGTCCAATTTCCACTAGATTAAAAGAAAAAAAAAAATAAAAAAAAGAAGTCTTGTGTTTACTTCTTGGATTTAAACCAAGGACACTAGATAGGAAAACAAATTTAAATCTTTTTGTATTTATGCCTAGCTGACTTTTGGATAAGGCTACATCTGTTGCCTGAATATGAAGAAATACCTGCTCAGTTTACAGAGTTGCAATCCAAATTCCTAGAAAGATAATGGTAAATACTCAGAGGCAGCAGACCTTTGTAAGATGTTTTCGAAACTTACTTGGGCTTTTTGTTTAAGAACAGTTGTCGGTTGTGTTTCAGGATCAAGGATAGAAATGATTTCATTTACTTTTTCAAGAGATTCATAAAAATGTGTGATTTGTTTCTCAAGTTCTTCCAGTGGAGACAGCAGACGTTGGCATTCACATAGCAGGGCACTGGAATACTCCTTAACCTTTTGGTCAAGAAAAACAATTACTGAAACAGTTGTAAAATTCAATAAATAGCAACCTTTTCTGCCTGTAGGTTGATATAGTTGTTACCCATTCTTTTTAAAGATAGAGCAGTCCTGATCTTGTATTACTTCTTAATGAAAAGAGTATTAAAATTTAAGGATGGTAGTCTTGGCATTTAAGAGAAGTAACACCTTCTCCACTCTGAATCAATCTATCGTTACACCTTTGTACTTGTTCAAACACATATAAGTGAGAATTTATGTACAGGACCCTACTATTTATTAGTTCAACAGTCTACAATATGCAGTAAAAGAAGTATTCTGCAACCTTGCCCAGCTGCTCTTTGAGCCGTGTCAGAGTTCCCAGCATTTCATTCGCTTCCTCTTGGGAAACTTCTTTTGTAACAAGTTGTCCCGTTCTTGTAACCGCTTTGCACTGAGCTTCCATTGCAGGCAATTTGTGTTTAATATTCTGAAACAAATGTTTCAAAAAATATTTCAGCAGCAATATTTATGCATTCATGGGAGATAAAAGACTGATAAATTATATGCATTCTAATTGTAAATTATTTTAATCACTGATTTCAGTGCACGCTGGATCGTATTTCAAATGCATGAAAACCGAGCCAGAGATTATCAGTCAACTCACCTGAAAGTGATTTGAAACTACAAAGAAATAAATACCTACTGAGACAGTGTTTTGGAAATTTGCTCAAAAATGTCACTAATAGAACACAATTATATATATATATATTTTATCTGTAGCTGAAATATCTAATACTAACATCATTTTATGCTATTAACTATTTAATCAGAATTAAATAGTTGCAAGTTTCTTTCTTTTGAAGGAGAAAGAAAGAAATGAAAGGAAGACACTTACTTCTAAATCTTGCACAAATATTTTGACATCGTGAAAGGACACTTCTACAGGGGTTGAAAGTTTCTTATTGCTTCCATCAATAAAAGATGTCAAATGGGCCACACCATCCACATACTCCTTCCTCATTTTGTCCAGTTCATCAGCTCGAGCATACTAAAAAAGAGAAAGTAAAGGGAAAAAAACCCAACCAAACCAAACAAAACAAAAAACCCCAACCCGAATTAGATACCTAGCAATTAAGTAATGATTTAAAAGAACTAGCATATTTTCAGTGCAACTGTTTGTTGGAAAAATTACATTCAGTGAAATACAATATAATGGAAAGTATATTCATCATCTGCATTAGTTTTAATAGATAATGATGCTAAAATGTACGGCATGCATACAGGAGGTCAGCCTCTTTTAAGGTCTGGGGAATGCCAGACTCATTTGTTTCTACACTAGAACCAACAGTTAAATTCATTTCTCATTTCCTACAGTAACAATTTCTAAAATTCAGCAAAGAGAATAGAACATAAAAAGCCTAGAAAAGCTAAAGGATAAAGGAAATATAATTAAGGAATGCTGGCTGGGGGAAGGGGAAATACATGCCTTAGAAAGTAGAAAGAGCTGTGTGACAGAAATGGTGAAAAAGCCTGTGAGGAAAAAACCCACATAGCCAGCATATGAAAGAAGCTGCATAAGTAGAGGAAGAGACATTTACATCAGTGAATCACCCTAAATAGCAGCAGCAAGTAAAGCTTGAGAACATTCTTGTCAACAGTCTGGAAAAGTTACAATAAAGGAGAGACAATCACTTTTGCTTTTCCTTTTAACTTGACTGCATAGGAGATAATCATGCCAGTAAAGAAAACAGATTTAGCATCTTCAACAGGCAACTGCTATTTAAAATCACTGTCAGGGAACAATATTGATAGATGCATATTGACAAGAAAAAATATATTTTCTAATGTGTTTATGAGGTTGAAATAGTTCTGTGTAATTAAGATCACATCTTCTCTTTGATTTTTAAAGAGCAAATATAGAAACAACAATGCTTTTTGTATCAGCTGAATCTCTTACATGAGGCAAAGGCTGGGTTTATTCATTTACTATCAGAACCTCCTTGCAGGCAAGATAGAAAGAAGTAAAGTCTGACCAAAATGGGGAAAAAAATTAGTTAATTAAATTAATTATTGTTCCTGCTTATGGTTGCAGTACAATAATTGGAAGGCATTTACATCAAAGAGCGGTGAAAATAATAATTTTCATCATTTTCACTGTTTAGATGTACAGAGCTATTACAGTAGCAATAGGTACTGAAAACCAGTCATTTTCTTCATAGAACAGTAGAAGTTGGAATAACATTAATAACTAATAAACATTAATAAATAACATTCACTGTATCAAGACAGGTGACTATGATGAAAAACTACAGCTCATACTAGTTGAAAATGTCCCCTCACCTGCCCCAAAATAGCTGTATAGCCAAAAAGATAAATAAAGGAAGAGCCCAAATACAATAAATTACTGTCAGGGAGCAATTTCTAATTGCAGTACTGATGAACAGCTAGGCACTTTAGAAAGTTGTCCTATAGTCCTGCTAACATGGCAATCTGTCTTGATTGCATAGAAATGACAAAGTAAATATTTAAAAGTAACAAGGGAAAAATCACCTGCTTAACTTGCATAAACAATTCCCTCCATCTTCCATTTAGCAAAAGAAGCTGCTGTTTAAGATCTCTGGAAATGGTCTCATCACAGGTTTCAATTAGAAAATTACCAGCATCATTCATGGCTGTGTGCTGTTGGATCCAATGAGGTAAGTGCCGGAAGAAATCCTGAAGAAGAAAATAAAAACACAGTTCCAAAACCTTTTAAATTAATCTTTATCTGAAATCACAAAACTAAAATTTCATCACCCGCTCACGATTTGATAAAAAAAGTGCTGAACAATTATCCTCTGAAGCTCATCACATCAAATATGCCATAACAGAAATTTAACATCTATGAGTATAACCTGTGGAATTAAAAATTACTGCCAGTTCACTTACATTTTACTCTAGTGAGTGGCTTCAGTTAAACTAATGAAACTCCTCCTTAAGAGAAAGCTCCATAACTGAAAATGCTGTTAGGGCTCATGTGTTTTCTGAGATATCCTTAAATAGTGTGGGCTGATAGCCCAGGCCATACACAGGCTGTGGAGAGGTCCTTCCCCTGCATGTGAGCCACAGGCAGCTTTCCAAGTTCTGGCCTCTCAGAAGACCTGTGAAGACTGGTTTATTTTATCACTGCTTCCTCCTATCTCAGAGCAGGTGAGCACAGAGGGGAAAGAGATGGCTGTCAGTGATTCTGTCCCCCTCACTGAGACAGCCATATGCATATTGTAGGCAGGTACAGCCACATAAACTGGTAGAAAAGACAAAGCCCACTTCCCTTGATTCCTTTTCTCTCTTCCAGACAACGGGAAATTGTTCCTAAGGCAGGTATCCCTGGACTCTATGACTCCATCTATATCAGCAAACCAAAGAGGACTCAGTCACTGTCTCATGACTGCCCACATCTCTGACATGGTTTTGGCTTGCCCCTGCTACCCTTCTCCCAGACAATGCACAATTCAATGAATGGCCAGATGTTCCAAACAGACTGGACCATGAGGGCACCTCCTTTCAGAGGAGGAGTAATCAGAAGGATTCAAGCTGAACCATGCCACCTGATCCTCAGGATTTAGGAGGGGACAGTGATCCATTTTGTTTACAGCTATCAATCTACCCTCCTAATTCCCAAACCATGCACCTTCCATGTGACAGTTCCATACAATCCTTTGCTCAATGGTACCTGAGAAGAATTCCTATACAACCACACTGTCAGCCATCCAGAGTTTCAAAGCTACAGTTCTGAAACTATCCTTGTCAGAACTCATCCATGTATAAAAAAAGTTCAGATGCAACTGCAATGAAACTCATGTGGTTGTATACTGGTCAGGTATCTTGAAAAGAGAATTGAACAACACACAGTGTTTCAATTCCTAAAGCTGAGACCAACAGTATCCAGGTGCTCTGTACTGATGTATCACTGCATACATTTAAATTTGATCAGCTCAGTAAACTGCATCTGCAATTTGAATCTTCTTCCACTTGCAGAGGAGCAACTCCCTTGCTTTGTACAAAGGCTAACCTTTATGAGCACACCCAAAAGAAATTAAGTCTACAGAATCTGGCACTGGTCAGCTTTTCAATGGTCAGGATCACTAGAGGTCAAGAAGAAAAAAGCACATGCATCAACTACTCACATCCTTGTTTCCACACACTTATTGCCACAAACCATTGACTTCTGCAGACCTGCCTGGGGAGTCTCTACATTTCAGAAGCCAACTTAAGACGTGTTAAATTGAAACATATTTGGAATGTACTGGGAAGAACACCTCATTCTCAATTAAAACAATGCAGCTCTTTTTAAGGAAGTCACCACATGAGATCTAGAAGCTCTCAAACCTTTTGGATACAGCTGTGTGAGAAAAGTGTGGGAGGGTGCAATTAGAATGAAATTATTATGGAAAGTGCTTAAGAGGTACTGGAAATAAACAAAAGAGTTGTAGAAGGAGCAGATTGAAAAATCCAAGTGCAGAGTGGTATTTTTTTTGCAAGATCTCCAGTGCTACAGGTTCACAATAAGGTTTTTGAAAACTGAAGCCAATGAGAAAGCCAGCAGGCTGCTTACTTTTCCAAATCAAACAGTGGTACAAGCAGGTCTGGAAATGATACAGAGATAATGGAAAGAAGAAGAAAGCATGACAGCATGATCAAGAGCTGCTGTGGTCTTTGCCTAGGATAGAATATAGAGGCTTTAAGTAATACAAGAAAGGTTTGCAAACGAGCAACTTTGTATCATATTACTGATATCTTTGTGGATTTACAGAAAAAATATTTTGAAATACTTAAAGATGTTTTACACCATATTACAAACAATAGTTATCATCTTTCTCATGGTATTCCAGATTATTTTTCTTAATGGCTGGAAGACTATTAATTTTACAAACCACTATAAGAACTAATTTTGGTTTTAATAATAAAATATTAAAATGGCTAAATTAGACCTATCTTTGGAACTATCTAAATGAACATTATTGCTGTGAAGAGCTAAATTCAATTAAAAATAGAAGTAACTTTTTAAATATGTAGCTCAGACTACATGTGGATTATGCTACCACTCAGTAATCTTTAACAGGTTTGAGCCAATGTATTTTTAAAAAAAAAATAAAAAAAAATTTTGGAAGAATAAAGCTTCATGTCTGAGGCTTTCAACAAGATTTCTTGAAATTTTTGAAATCATATATTAGAATGAAAAGAATTACTTGTTGGATTTATGTTAGAAATCAAAAGCAAGTATATACTGTATGAGAATGTTCAAATTTCTGCTTTGAAAATCTTTGAAGATAAAGTTAAACATCTAAACAGAAAATTAAATGCTTTGATTTTATTAATATACATGGTTTAAGAATTTTTAATTATTGTCCAGTTACTTACATAAAACATACCCCAGTATCTAAGATCACCCTGATCAGCATAAGTGATCCTTCCTGCCCAATAATAATTGTTTGAATCTATATCATGCCAGACTATTTTTTCCACTGGCTTATTTTTATTTTAAAAGTGCATTCCACTAATTTACAACAGTTTGAACTAATAAACTTTAAAAAAAATTATACTGTTTTTTCACGTAACATGACATGGTCATTCCTGACCTGATATCAGTTTGCCATCTTACAAACTATGAGAACTCGAAGTGTTAAGAGCTGTGTAGCTGCTACATTTGGATTAGGTGCAAATTGAGCACCTATTAAATGCAGGGTTATTCAAGCCAATCCATGTCTTTCTTGAAGGTTTACAAACTTAAATCTTAGTGTTTTGGTACTCTAACATTACAAAAAAAAAAGAAAAAATAAATATAGAACTATCTTTATTACTGCAGGTCCCAAAAATCAGTTGTCTAAAAGATTTCTGAAATGCCAGGGAAATCAATTACTTAATCAACCATCAAATATGACAACACATATTAATAATACTGCTCTTTGAAGGTAATGAGTATTGAAATCTATCATCTAGAAAAATCAGTGGAAGTGTCTTTATAGGCATACCTTTATGTAATGGTAGTCCATGATTACTCACTTAGGTGCTAAGAGCTGTACTTGCCTTTGAGTGAATCATGCAACATTCCTATCTGTGAGCAATACTGCTGCCCTATATTCATGTCGAAGATGCCTCTAGCCATGGTGCCACAGCTGAGGCTTTCTCCATTGTGTATATATGCATTTGCCTCTAGATACTATAGAAGCAAAGACTGGAACTCCCATGATGAATGAAGACAGGAGGCTGAAGTCAGAGCAAAACGTAAGCAAATGCAAAAAAAATATCCAGTGTTTCCCAATTTACAAAAGAGCCATATGCATATGTTGCTAGTGCATACCTTTTTGGAATGTTCAGGCTGATTCAGCATTTTCTCAGCATCTTCAAGCCAAGCTTGCAGACTTGCCACAGTGCTGCTGTATCTGTCCCAATTAGCAATTACTTCTTCCAGCATGCTTCTTACACTTCTCACCTCTACTGAGAGGTTCCTCCACTGAGCTGTGGTATCACTCATGAATTTCATCACATTCTCAACTTCTTCCACTGAGATACAGGAAACACATTGATGATTTGGTTTCATTACCATTTCAGTAAAGATTAACTATATATCATGCTTATTCACTCACATCAGGGAATTATATTTTACTGCAACTTCTATTTCAGTAGGCTTTTATATACGAATGTTCAGTTCACAGCCCCATTTTAGCACAAGATCATGACTGAGAAATTAAACGTGTGAATTAAAGACTTAGGAAAGTACATAAAATGAATGCTAAATTAAAACAGTCACACTGCATATTGTGTGTGGTGTTCATTTCAAATCTGCAATAAAAGAAATCAAGAGACTGGCTTGACTTAAAAAAGCAGAAAATTGGAGTTGCATAATATAAAACCACATTATGTCTACATTAAAAAGTATGGAACAAAATTCTGATCTTCCTGCCGTTGACTTTGAAACCAAACTGCTGCTAATTTTTGCCATTTAACTTTTAGCGTTTTCCACATGGCAAGAAAGGAACAAATGTGTCCTCATTCCAGAGGAAAACAAACAGAGAGAAGAAAAAAAGCCAAGGAAATGCTGGAACTTCATGAAATATGCAGAATGTACTTGTTTTAAAGAGTTTCCAGCTAATTTGAACTGCTGTTGCTGGATTCATATATGCTAGTACTTTAGAAAAGAATTTGTTACTGGATTTTATTAATAGCATTGAATACATCTGTGACTTTTGTTCTTTGTAAGAATACCTTGAAAAAATGTTTACTTTTGTAAAATTTGTGTGTCACAATCAATTTAAATTTCCCAACAAACAAAGGTATCCATTTTCTCTCCCCCTTAGCAGCAGCTAAAACAATCCTCCACAGACATTATTGTGCTACAGATTAAAGTGATCTTATGTCTGTAATTATCTAGGTCAAATATTGCCCTCGAATTCTCGCTGAACTCAGCAGTATTGAAGAATGACAGGAGGCAGCTGTTGAATCAGCTACACATTTTTTTCTTGTGTATATCCATACTGCAACTACCATTTGAGCTCCTCTTGCAGGTTTTCAAAGGTAATGAAGAACCTCCATAAACCAAGGGATGATTTTGCAGCTACAATACTGGGACCAACTCCCAGTTGTCTTTTTCTTTTAAATTAAGCCAAGCCAGGGAGCATTTCCAGGCACTAGAACATGATTTTCCCTACTCCTACTTTGCTTTCTGTCACAAGTGACAAAAGAAACAGGCATTTACCTGAGCCATTTGCTTTGGCATACATTTCAGCTGCTCTTTTCAAGATCTGGTAGGTAACTTCATACTGCTCAAAGAACTTACTATTTTCAATAACAGACTGAAAGGAAAAAAGAAAATTGTAACAGATAAAATAAAGATGGGTATTAGGATTAGCAATAATTTGTATGAAACTACATCAGGATTCTGATGACATAATTTAGCTTCATTATTCCTCCATTCATCTTTTCATCATTATAAAATAATATTTTTGTTATCACAATTATAAAATAGCATACAATTTTCACCTTTTCAATTCAATGGTACAGCAGAGTATATCATTACAAATACAGATTTATTTACTTTCTACATGGAAAGGTTATTTGAAGTTTTCTTATTTGCTGTCTTGCTGGACATCACTAGGATATGATATTTAGAATGTGCAGAAACTGAATAAGTAACAAGTTATTTAATGAAAATGGTTTTACACTCAAATCTAAGTAGAATAATTTTAATAAAAGGGAAAATTTCCTTCATATATGTCACCACAAAAAATCAAATCCAATTGTGCCTGTACTAAGCCTTTTCAGAAAGACAGGTTACACTTTAAAGATAAAAGATAAAAGCTTTACTTTACTCTTTAATTTTTTTTTACCTCCTTCACAACTAGTAAAAAGTAAGATCATGGAAACACTGCACAAAGAGATGCTGTTTTTCCTGAGTGTGACACAGTGCTGTTCCTTTGTGAGTGATGGTTTAGCTCTGTGATGTGTTATGGTGCGATGAATAAATTATCTGGAAATATTTTGGTAAAAAAAGTTATGCCTCTGACATTTATGCTTCTTCATCCCTTATGGCAAATTAAAATGACCTTTTTTTACATGTCTTTCAGAAATGTTATTTTCTTTAAGTGCAATACAGAATTATAGCTCTACATTATGCAATCACATTATACCTTGCATTACCAGTGTTAAAACAGAAAGAGAAGGCTAGAGTTTGGAATGGTTCTGTAATTTATGCTACATCTCATCCCTCCTCAGCTGCAGATTACAAAATTAAGGAATGCACACCCCACATATGTCTATGCAAGCTTTGGAATGGCAGAATAGACAAAGCCAGACAAGTGTGATTTTGATTAAACCAAGCTTCAAATGAAGTCCAAGTTCAATGGATTTTGAACAGGAGAATCAGATCTTGTGTGTTCATCGATCCATATTATATAATATTTAAAAAGCACTTAAAAATAATTCTGCCAGTATATATCTAAAACCCTTCTATTTAAAACCTTTGACAGTTGCTATGTCAGGTTACAACAGCTACCTAGTATGTAATTTAGAACTGTGTTTATAACCAAGGAAACTAGAAGTCAAGAACTATCATAATTTTTCTCTGTTCTCCGGTTAAAACAAAATCTGCCATGTATGAAGGCCTACAGGCTTTATCTTGAATTATGTGACAGATTCATGACTTTCAGTTTAGCCAAATCCATGTAGACATTTTAACCTGATCCAAAACCTCCAAGACCTCACATTAAAGAGCAAAACAGATTTATGTAACAGTGATATTGAGAGCTATCTGAAATATTTTCAAAAATTAAATAAAGACATTTTAGTGATTGATATTTTCTACCATCTGAAAAGATTTCTGAAAGAAAATAAACAGCTCTCCCAAACCAGTATAGCATATGATGCTAAAAATGTGCTAACACAGCAGAGCTAAAACACAGTTCCATGGGTTAAAATCCATGGATAACTGTACCTAGCATCTCCATTACAGTGGAATTTGGTACAGGACATTATTCAGGTTGATGGTGTACAATCTGTGCTGACCTTTACTTGTGCTGTATGAAAGACGGGTGAAAAGATTATAAGATTAAATATAAAACCACCACTTTTATTTTTAAGCTACAGTACATAAATATTTTCCAGGCATATGTTCTATCCAGATCTTAATTACGCATGTTCCTAGAATGCTGACATTCCCCAGTCTGTTTTGGCAGACAAACAGAATTACATTTTTATCTCCTGCTAATATAGTCACTTTGACTATAAGGTACTGACTACAGCTTTCCTACGTAAGACTTAATATACTGGAAGAGTAACACTCATCCCTCAGCCCTAGAAAACTGGGCCCAGATAAACCAAAGCAAATCAATTCTCTTTCCATTACATCTTGAAGGAGCCAGAAGTCAAGACCATCAAGAATGAAAATGAGATCTATTTATTTTCCTGTCTTGATTTCCTCATTTTGTTGTTATACAGTTTAAAAAATAATGCAAGGAAGCATCTTCCTTCCCTAAAGATCACCTCAGCATCAGTGGTCTGAATTACAAGAACAATTGAGGCACTTGCAAATTAATATACAAGTTAACAACTTCATGTTCATTTTAAAGGAAAAAAGAAAAAGTCACCAAAAAACCCCCTGAAAATTCAAGTTAACCACTTTTTATTATTTCCAATGTCAACTTCTAGTAGTTTTTTTTCAGTCAGAGAGTAAAAAAAAATGGACTACATTCCTAGTTATTTCACATCACTCCAGCAACCTAAGTAAATTCAAGTAATTATCTGAATTTTGGAAAACTTCTCTACAAAAGAACATTAACTGACTCCCACATTTTTGGTTGTCCCTAACTGCTGAAGTTTAAATACAGAAATTCTCACTTTGAAGGGTGAGAATTTCACCCAAATCTCACTGAGTTTGGAATTTTCTTTTCAAAGAAGTGGAGACAATCAGTAGTTTTTTCTGCTTATTGACCTGGCTCTGAATGGTTCTGTAACTGTATTAGTCCTATTTATGACTTAATTTCTGAATGCAATTTTTCCCATATGGATTAGACAGAAGGGAAGAACTAATTAGACCAGCCCTGCTTTTGAAAGAATCTTTCATGTCCTAGTGTAGAAGTGCAGCAGTACTATCATTCTACCTACACTTGGCACTGCACGTGTGAATCCAAAAAGATACAGCAGCGTAACACTGAAAAGAAATTTATCAATGAACACTTGTAAGTCAATAGTTTCTGCTCCTTAACATGGCATATGGCTGATGCAGAGCTGGAGCAAACTGTTTCCAGGATAGAAATAAGGAGAAGGGTTTAATATACTAATGCTGAGGAGGAAAAGAAAAATCATTCCTTAAAATAAGAAAATTATTCTGCTATAGGTATAATATACAAGTATATGGAGGTAAAATAACGTCCCTTTTTATTAATCTTTTGGAAGACAGTAAAAAGTACTGTGTGGAAACACATGCCAAAAACCTCCTCTGTCTTTAACTCTTCAGCTGTATCTAGTCACTATAAAGTGTTTCTATCCAGGTGTAAAAGAAGATGAAATTAACTTCTTTGGAATTGCTATACAAAGTAAGCAAAAATCTAGGATTTGGAACCTCCAGACATGCTTGCCAAATTAACCACTGGACAGCAGCTGGAATATTATTTTTCTTTTTTAAAAAAATGATGCAAAGAGAGTAATTTTTACTTTTAGCCTTTTATCTAAAGTTCCTCCATGTGGAAGACAGATTCGCCTCTGAAAATATACTCCACAGGAATGCAGTCATAAAGTTGATGACTGACAAATCTGATACCTGTTTCTGCTTTTATACAATTCAAGCAAACTTAAATATGAATGTTTCAAAGATAGTTATAAAAAGAAGACAACCCCAACTTACAATATAATTTTGAAGAAGCAGTTCCACGGACTCTCGCCTTCCGTATTTGATAATCCATGATTTTAACTTTGATTCTGCAAAGACTAAGAGTGACAGTAGACGGTACTTCAGTTCCAGAAACTCCATCTTCAACAGATGGAGCTCAGATGTAGAGACAACAAAATTAAACCTATAAAATGAATCACAGTATAGTAAAATACAGCAATATTCATTTTCACAGGAGAGACTGAAAGCTTTGGTTACAGATTGGATATTTTCCTAATCTTTCACCTCACTCAGAGTCTGCAAACATTTAATTATGTGTGATGATATTCTAATGATTGCTCTTGAACAATAAATTAATTACATTTCTTTTTAATCATAGAAAGCATCAGTTCACTTCTGTTACTAAGTTTTGCAGAGTAATTTTTCTTTTTTTCTCATGCATCCTGGCTGTTATATAACATTTCTTCCAGGGACAAGCAATAACAGGATCAATGTTAAAAAAAGTATTCCCATCCAAAACCTATTGTTTATTTTGATTCTTCTTGACCTTAAAGGCATCAGGTTTTTCAGTGTATTTTTAAGTATATTCTAGGAGGTTTTTCCATCCATCTCAGTTTGCCACTGAGAAATGTAACTAGAGAGTGATCTCTACATGAACAGATAAAAAAGCAAACAGGCTCCCCTTCATGCACAGAAGCATTTTATTTCAGATTGAAAGCCTTACCTGTCTGCCATATCCTCTAACTGGTCATGTGGAACAGGCACGCCATTAACAGACCTGGTCCTGTGGATCTCATGGAACGCCTTTTTGTGACCATCTATGTTTTTCAGCAGATCCTGATTGGATTTTAAGAAAGAGAGAGACACTGAGAGAGTGAGGGGAGGGAGGGGAAGGAGAGAAAAGGCTCACAGTAGGCTATCTAACTAATAAGCACAATTTTAAGCCGGCTCTGATGACTCAGTGTAGTTAACTATTTGATCATGCTCTCACACTTCCATGCAAGGTAATGCACACCACAAAAGCATTTACATCAACTTAAACATTTACACAGGGAACCCCCCTTACGTGAAGCTCTGTTACAGCTATGCCGAACAATTATGGAAGATTTTAAAACAGGATACACTGCAAAAGGTTTAACAGAACAAGAACCCTTAAATTAAATTGAATAATCTCTGAAATGCAGTCTGCCAATATGCTAACATCCCAAAAGCATAATCCTACTAAATTTACTCTTTAAATCTTTATAACAGATACTAACCTTTGCTAAGTATAGACTGAAATTTTAAGCAACTAATCTACCCTGCTATATATAGGCAGAAAATCTATAGCTCCTGCTCTAAGTACATATTCCGTATTTAGCAAACTTTTCACTGTCTCACCATCAAAAGACCTCGGGATCGCTGTCTCAGTACTGCACGAACGGCTGCGGAATGTGGTACCCGACCTGTATTCCTGCGATCTGAACTGTACCAGCCAAACCCCTACAGCACAGCACACTTCAACTGTAACTAAGCAACACGGCTTCAAACGGCTTCCTGGAGATTACATATTAAAATGAATGACTGGCAGCAGTCTTTGAAGAGATACTGTTAGCAGTAACACGTCAAGTCCCCAGAGGGCGGCTGAGAAGGCACAGGATGGTGGGGTTTTTTTTTTACTGCAGACAGACAGCTGCTAGCACAAGGTGTTCAGAAGCCTGCTAGCAGAGAAGGTGGTACAAAGGTTCCCCCTCTCCCACCTCAGGGAACAAAATGCAGGTTTCTGTACATATCCATACGTATGTACATATTCCATACAGATATATGTGTATTAATTGCTACGTGCCAAGGAAGGGCTTCCCCCCAGCCAAAACCCCGTGTTTGCACAGAAGGAATCAGTGATAATTCTGAGACCAAATGGTCTCACCATTCCCATCAACCCACATGGGTTTTCATTGTTTTCTGCTTCAGACAACACCTTGCTGTGAAGAGAAATGAGTTAGGCTATTTTAGATGCAGGTAATGTGCTGATTTCAGCATGATGAAAACTCCTGTGACTGACATAGTCTCACATAAAGGAAAGATTTGGAACCAGTTTCTCAGCTGCATTTCAGACCTTACCATACAAAAAGGGATGCTCCTAAGATGCACTGGTGAGCCAAAACAAATCACAGTACTTTCATCCAACATCAACAGGAAGCTCACAAAACTTATATACAGTATTCTCATAAAATGAAACCCTGCTCTGGGAAACGACCCTCAACACACACAGACACTGCCCTTGATTCCTGGATCTTGGTATAGCAATAGCAACTAAAATAAACATAGGTGCTTGCTTGATTGTATGAGGTTTGTCCAAATAAGCTGGTACATTTTGTACTAAATTCAAAATGGCCATAAGCTATAAAGTTCATTAAAATAACCCATTGTCAGATGAGACAAAGATAAAAAGGAAGCAATGATGTCATCTGAACAAATCCATAACAAACAAAGAAACAACCAAACAAACCAGAAGGCAACAGGGAAACAAGGACTGAAAAAAATACACTAGTGCATTTCTGGTACTATCCAGTAGCACATTAGGATTCATCAATTCAAATCTGAGCAACAAAACAAACTCCAGGAACAGATATAATTACATATGCTTTCTTAAAGCTTTTTCCATCCCACTCCCATGGGAAAACTCCCCTGGCACAGATTAACTTAAATCAAAGTTTATTTGTTGGCATGGAAATCCCTCACCACAGCATTTCTGATGCAAATAAAACAGTTTAGGGCACACTCTTTTGTACTTCTTATGAATGTATCAAAAGGAGGCCTACAGTGTTCACATTCTAAGAACAAAAGAGTGTTTGACTTGTTAATTTTTTTAAAAAAACAAATGTCAGATCCTATGAATCCTGAAACACTTGATGTTACCAAGAAAGTTAATAAAATTTAGCATTACAAGAGACAAGACCCTGAAAAAATCCTATCTTCCACACAGATTTTAACATTGTTTTTTTTTTAATTTAATTAGTTACTACTAAATCTAGAAGAGTTACAATTGTTCTAATAAAAAAGTAATCAGATGTCATGAAACTTCTCAGCTGTTCATTATATAACATTGCTTTTTGATGAAAAAACATTACCCATATCCTAAACACAAAAAATAACAAATTTACAAAAAAGTTTTAAAATAGCAGTGATAGAGGAGAAAACAAACCAAATAAAACAAAAAAAGAAAAAAAAAAAAGAAAAAAGAAAACAATGGAGCCTCAAGTACTGCCTTTCTCTACACCATCTCTTCCCTTTCATTTACTGGTTCAGTTTCTTTTATCATCTCACCAGCATATTTTTTCATCAATACATTTTTTCTCACACATATTATGCAAATCCACTGAAAAAAACCCTCACTGTTTTGGTTTTAAATGAGACCTTGGACCCAGCAAAGAATAATGGTACAATTATTTAAATTCATCTGGCAAAGTTTCCTGTTCACCACAGCATGCTATCTGCCATCACAGATGCCTGCCATGCTATCTGTCATCACAACACTATCAAAATTCACTTCATTCTTATTGTCTCCCCTCCATAAGTGTCACCTGCACTTTAAGCACAGTTAGTGCATTTATTCCCTTTTTCCTGTTTCACCCAATTAGTTAATACTGGTTAAACAACACACACAATATCATGAGCTCCCTACAGAATTTTACCATAGAAATTAAAATATTAATGCCTGATATACTTCAGACAGAAGAAGCAAAAAACCCTTTGGGAGCAATTCTGGATATTGGCTGTAAGATACACAGAGCACAGTTCAAGTCACCATGACAAGACACCAACCTTTGCCACCAACAGGACAACAGAACCCACAGAAAGTAGAAGTAATTATCTTTGTAGAGAATGGAAATTTTTAAATGGAATTTAAAGCTGTGAAAACAATGGAGGTTAACACACAGAATGAATGCATCTCCATCTACCTTATGTTGTTCAAGCTTCCTGTGTATTGTGTTTGCTGTTTCCTCATGAGCTTGCTGAACAGTTACTTCTTCCCTCAGAGCAGCCTCTGCCCTGTAGAGCCAAGCACCTATGGTACCCAGAGGTGCAGGAAGGGATTTATCAAGGTGTATGTGCCAATCAAGCATCTAGGAAGTAAAAGTAAAAGGACTGAAATTCCTCCCTTGCTAAGCTAAGGAATACAAACAAGTACACTGATAAAAATGAGACTTTATGCTGCAAAAATCAAACCCCCACGTAACAAAGTATAATTGAGACATAAATCTACATGTCATTCCACGTGAGTTTGGAAATTACAGCATTCTCACAGGCAACAAAATCTCTGTAAGAATTTGTTAATTTATGTATTTTCCTTTCTGAATGGTAATTGAGTTACAGAATGGTCACAAATAAACTGGAACAACCGAGAAGCAAAATATCTGAAATTTCATCAGTTAATAGGCACAGTAAGGGATACAAGACCTTCTTCTTCCAATCTTATTTAATTCATGCTCCTGCATAAAATCTTTGTATCTCTATTTTGAACATACTTTTTATATGTAAGGTTCACATGAGTCTCAAAAGACTGTGGAGGGAGGAATATAGTAGTAAAACACTGTGTTTTATTGGCAATGCAAGTTATGGGAGTGAAAACATGAAAAAAATGTGAAAACTCCAGAATAATTTTAAACAGATCCTCTGTTAAATACATGACAAAAAAATATATTGCAGTATGGAGATACACTACTAATAATGTTTTAATTTTTAATTAAAACTGGGTCATACAGTACAATTTGCTTGGGATTTTTCATTCAGTTGTGCAAAATCCCAATCATAAAAACTAACATTCATTTATTAATATTGCAAATAGGTCAAAAATAGAATTTTAACTTCATTTATTGGTTAAGTACTCCGTATTGCACAGATTTTTTTTTCATTTATACTAATAAACACATTAGAATCTCTCACTTAGCAATTTACATAGGAACATTGGGTTTGCAAGTGGCACTGTGTATACCTTTCTTTCTATCAACAATGCCTTGAACTTGGCTGAGCACTGTTAGCACTCTCAATTAAATGGAAATCTCAAAATATAGTCCTTTTCCTAACGTTCTATCTTTGAGCAATATTAAAGATGATAGTGCAGTAAATATTCTCAAAGCAAATGCAAAATAATTCAGCAGGTCAGAAATATGGTCCACTTTTAGGTTCCTAATGCCTAATAAAATCAATAGCAAACAGGTGTTTAAATGATTTTAAATTCCACCCATACATATAGGACAATGATTTTCAACTTACCCTGGAAGTAACTCTCTCCCATGCTTGCTTCACCACAGCTTGATCAAGTGATAATTTACCATCTTTCCGTAATGACTGGGTTGCAAGTTCAAATTGTTTCCTTTTTACCTCATATTGTACTCTGAAATGCTTAAATGACTGCACAAAGAGAAAATCAAATCAATTGCTGTAGAGAGTGAATGAGTTAAATTCTTTAACATTTATGGAGTACCATAACCTACAGAAACTGATAAGAATCCTAATCTTTCCCAAAGAGGAATAGCACTTAACTTTTATATTTACTAGTATATTTTTTAAAATTTATATATGGATAGGATTTTTGTATTTCCCTTCAGCTTTTAGATGCCTGAACCATAGATTAAAATGAGATAATAACTGATCAGATAAAATTGCAACTGGATTTAATACTACATGGGACAGTGGCTGCATTTAGAGAGCAGTCAAGCTTCAGGATAAAATTTAGGCAAAGTTTTGTATTTCTGATTTAGGTATTAACCTCTAAAAGAGCAAAATAAAACTCTAAGTCCTATCCTCTCCACCTGTCACCTCATCCAGCCTTCAGTCATACCTCCTATCTGAGCTAAATCACACAGGATCTAGAAGGATGGCACATACACTCTCTTCTAACTAGGACAGTCCTTCTTCACACTGCTGGGAAAAGCTCTGTGTAAGGCAAGCCATCTGTGCACTGTCCTACGTAGCAGAGCTGGACCTGACATTGTAATTCCTCCACCAATAACAGGCAAGACACTTTGTGTCCTTAATTCTTTAAACAACACTATGGTGACTCTCTGCACAAAACACTGCAGTACCTGCTACACAGAGTGATGACAAAAAGTTGTTACCATACATCATTTCCGTCTTGCTTACCTGGTATTTCTCCTGTAAGCTTGTTTCTGCCACCTGTGCTCGGGCTATGTCTCTTTCAAATTGTTCTGCCCACACTTTTAGGTCTCTTAGCACCAGTCTGTCTTCCTTCTATGATGTAGTACATCCACACATTTTAAAAAAAAAATTGCAGCCTTTAGTAGAGCTGTCAGTTTTAGTCAAGAAATTAACATCTCTATAGCAAGTCAAGGTTATTAGTTGTAGTGAAAGCAAATGTGCCCAATTCTCTCATCATTTACCTTACAGTCTAAATGAAAAGCAATTTCTCAGTATGACAGAAGTCAGCAGCTAGACATGAGTCTTACAGGAGTGAAATCATGACAAACGGGGACATTGCAGTGTCAGAGACACTATCAGCAGTTTCCATCTAATGTTAAACTAACACAAAGTTCTTTAAAGGTATCTCAACAACTAATTTTAATCTTTGACAGATTAGCAAAGTCAATTTCCGGTAAAAGTTAACTGAGCTGAGACAGGAGAGGATTTTCTAATCTTTTACCACTGTTTTATTAGCTGGTCTGCTATTGCTGGAAAGAGAAGTTATTGTCTGATTGACTTCAAAGTAATCCTTGACATCAAGCTTCAAGTTCAGAAGTCAGCAAAACATTTAGAATATTTTAACATGGAAAATGAAAAGAAAGAAAGAAAACCCAAGTATATTAGGTTTCTTTTCCTTCTATGCCATTTTATGGCTTTGAAGAAAAGCGTATTTGTTCTACAGTTTACCACTTCGGTTTGTCATGGCACTGCAGCTTTGTAAGGCTGCAAAATTCTCTGCAGAATTCAGTGACCTGGCAGTGGACAGAAAAACACTAACAGGAAGTCTCAGGTCTGTAAGCTTGATATAAGCAAAGGTCATTAGGAAATAGAAAGTATTCTGTGCACTATGTAAGCAGGCTGGTCAAGTAGGATACAAGTATCCCTCTCAGATTTCCAAACAATGAACCAGATGGGTTGGCTGTTAATCAGAAGCCACTTTTTGAAACCCAAGGAGCCTTATTACTGTGAAATTTGTCAGAAACAGACAAACAACATATTTTTCTATTACAGTTAACAAATGCAACATCTCATCATAGAAGCTAATCACATAAAATGAGTCACACTTGAAGCATTACATGAGAGAAGGAAAACTGGACCATAGGATAAATAAGAGTAATCACTGCCTGGATTTGAGAAACAAAGTACTGTCTTTTAAGAAATGAACCTGACAGGGGAAAGAAGACAATTTATGGTTCCTTTCTTTGAAAGCTGCCTAAAATATGTAAAATATAACTTCCCCTTAATAAGCTTTACAAGTTAAGGCTATTGCTTCATTTCAGCCAAGGGAAGGACAGGTTCCTCAGATAAGAAAGACATCTTTGATGCATTTCTACTAGTTCATTTGCTGAGGCTCTACTCGGGACTGTGGTAGCTGGTTGGACGTAATTTGCAGAACAGATTTGCAATTACTGCAATTGTCCTGATAGCCAGGTAGTTACAGTGAGGTTAACATGATGTTAGAGCAGTTGTGCTGAAATGAAGTTCTCTGTAGTTCATGTTCCTGTCTTCTGTTTTCTCAGGCAGATACCTGAGAAAAAGTATAGGGCGGACATAACACTTCCCTGCCCCAGCTACCTGTAATACTGGCCTTTCCTTGAACACACAGGGTCTCCCAAGAAGCCAAAACTCCTAGAACTTCCAAATTCTCAAATCATTTAAATATAGAGAAGGAGAATAAAATTTATATTCTTCTAGTCTGTGTGTGTGAATATAACACACTTTGAGAAAACCAGAAAATTCATGACTATTCCCCTATGAGGAAAATCATAGAATCGTTTAGGTTGGAAAAGGCTTCTAAGATCATCAAATCCAACCAAGTAGAATATAAAAAGAGGGCATCTTATTCAGTCATGAGAAAGAACTTTGGTATTAAATTCACTGTATTCTTAAGAGGCTCTAACTTTAGTGAGACTATTGAGATCTCTATTAGTATTTAGCTGCCAGCTCCATAAAAGCAATACCAACCTATGCATCTTAATGGATTGGAAATCCTATAGCAACCTTACTGACTAAAATTTCAGTAAGATGTTCTTGAAGTCATGAAGGGAACAAATGTGCCCCAATGCTCTGCATATTACTTCTAATTCACACTATAAAATTCAGTTTCATAAAGCACTGTTTTATATTCCTCACCTTTTATATTCCTTAAGGTAAGACTTTGACAGAGCATCTATATGCCTGCAACTGTTCACACAGTGATCTGAGCAAGGCAGGCATTTTGCAAGATTATTTCATCAGTTTAAAAATTAAATACCGGCTAAAACCAGTTCTAACCAAATGTTTTTGAAATTGAATATCTCTGGGATTAAGAATACCTCTGTGGTATGTGAAGATAACATAGGAACAGCCTCACCTCCCTTAGACCACATATGGTTTCTCTGATACTAAGTTAACAGGTAGCACTTTAGCCTTCTGCATTTTAAAGAACTATTTATGTAGGCAAATTTTGATCACTTTTTTTAAATTCCAAAGATGTAGGTGCTTCAGCAAGCACCTAACTGGATGCCATAAATTACACTGTGCAACAAAGCATGATGAATCTTTTATTTATTTATTCATATGTTTTCACAGGTTTCCAGTTCAGTACATCACTTACCACCTGCAAATTAGATTCTGTGGTCCTTGGTTGATACTAAAGCACTTTAAAGTCTCAGTTTAGGTAATCAACTAAAGAGATTCACTTTCTTAGACACCAAGGCATTTGTCATCAACACCCACCAGACTTAATGAACTATCATTCTTAAAAAAAGACTTTCATTAGTGCCTAGTATTCTTACTCTTAATACAGAAATGTCAAAAGGACATTTTCACAGATTTGTAAACTATTTTCTGAAGCCTGCACATCTGAAGTAGCATACAGATCAGAAGATAAACCTCCAAACATAAATTATCTAGAACAAATATAACTATTTGTGCTTTCTCCAGCATGAGAACCATTGATCTCTGATACATTTATTTGAATTTATCTAAAAATCCTGTGTTTCATTCAGCATGCTACTTCCAAGCAGCATTTTAAAATATTAATTTATCCTTACACCATTCCATGAATATTCACAGATTCATAGAGATGAACAGAACTGGAGGACTCAGCTGACAAGGAACATCAAAGAAGGTATTTAGAGAGAAGCATTTATGAGTTCTGATATTATAATAGAGTAGATTTTAAATTTGAAAAAAAAGTTTTTTGGCCCAGACTCAAAATCAAAACATTATTTTATTAACTGATATGCCAGAGTTAATTTCAGAATTACATAATACAGAATACTGTAGAGCTTGAAGGGCTTAAAATATAATAAGAATCTTAATTATGCAGTGGAAAAGAAGTATTTTGTTAGTTCTCTAACACATAATTATAAAAAGGTCAACTGTTCAAATTCTCAGGCACAGACACAATAGAATTTTCAAATATTACCTTTTAAATTTGAAAAAGCTTGTCTGTTTTTCAGGCATATTGAACCATTGTATTGCATATGTACTGAGAAAATGAAGCCCCTCCAAAAATGTTTATGCATAAATTCAACTGATTAGGCTGTTCATTTTGAAAACTCTGGCTTATCTACATATATATATATATCTATCTAAGTATTACTGGATCTACATATGTTACTGAAACTCTCTCCCTGATAGTGCTATCACAGACACAGGGTGAATGCTGAGCCAGGCACCACCTTCAGGGATGAACTATTAATGACTAGCTGCAGAAGTAGACTAAATCCCTGGAAAAGCTCAGAAAGCTATTTTTGCAGCTGCTGCTCAGGAAATTCCTCTTACAATGGGGAACTCTGCTGGCATAAAAACGTCAGAGATGACAGGATTATTTACTGAATTACTTGCTCATCAGAGCACAAGAAGAGAAAGATTTTTCATCAGAAATACTTTGAGGGGGTGAGTTTTAAGTACAGCTAAATTTATACCATGATAAGGAAATCAGCAGAGCTTCTGCCATTTCAAATCTCCTCTGGCTTAAGAAGCAATGTACTGGGGCTGTGTAAGGCTAAGGATGGATAAAGTCCCATTAAAAGTGCCCAAACTTGCTTGAATGGATTGAGAATATAGGAGTAATTCTGCTATCAGTATAAATCTTTGCTTCAATACATTACTAGTTAGATATACATAATGTGAGAAAAAGATGAACCCTTGATCCTAGACACTTTAAAATAATCTATTTTATATATTTATTTAGCAAAAATATCCCTATCAAAAAAGCCCAAAGAATGTGGAATTCAGGCAATTAATTGGCTCAGGTCAAACTATAAACACTATTGACTGACTGTAGTGACACCTGCTATTTATTTCACAATATATTCACTTCTGCAGTCTTCCAGTTTCACCTCTGAATGCTTATTTCATATACTCTGTGTTAGATTTCTGAACTTCTCTCAGTTAATACTAGAAAATTAGAAGTATCTAAAAGTCTAGGATGGTTAAAAAAGTATATTTTTTAAAATATCATACTTTAGATGAAAAAGGAGCATCACATCACACAATTACAGATGAATACACTCTCCTTCCAACCCGCAAGCTACACACATCACTTACACAATCATACACTCTACTATCTACTCTATAAACATTAAGACATACAAAAACAGACATCTAAAATGAGATTAGATGTGTAGAAACACTGAACTACAATCTATTTTTTTGATGTTTATGTCTACACTTAGGAAAACCAAAAGCATAGTCTGAGGTTTATTATAGGAATGTTGACTTGCTTTTCTATAATATTTCTGTTAAGTAATTTGCAAAATTAAGTGTTAGGCTGTTAGGGCCAGCTCATGTAAGAGAACAGCCCTAGATTCATCATGTTCATCTACTGCTTTTCTGGAATGATAAACTTAAGGCTAGTAAACTAATGTATATTAAACACCCCCTCCCAAATCTAAAGTCAAATAAGTGCAAGATTAAAAAAGATAACAACCATGAAAGGTCCGATTCAAGCAATTATTCTGAGCATACACCCTTACCTTAAATTTCATAAAAGAAATGACAAAAGTTGGGATTGCTTGAAGTTCCTAGCAATATGAAACAAATGGGAAAACGAGAAGCAAGGGAAAAAAAAAAAAAAAAAAAGCAAAATAAAATAAAGCAAAGCAGGCAGAAAGTCCAAAGAGAACAGTAAGAGCCACACATGTAGGAACACAAGATGTACTTAGAACTATTATCAAGCTCACATGTCTATATCATATCTAGTGAAGTGGTTTTCACATTATATCTGATTTCCAGATTGCTAGTCACCACATGATTTATTTTATCTGGAAAATTACTTACCTTAGAGTAACTGTGTTTCTTTGAGATGTGTTGACTACATGAGTTCACACATTGTTCATAGCTGGTCCATACATGAGAGATTGGACCCCTTTTAATTCTGGAAATGCACATGCAAATAGCTGTTCCCTCTGACCACAAATAAGGGATAGGTTTCAATCATTACTCCACTTCTTCCAATTAAAATTCTTTATAAAGTGAACATTGAATCAGGAGGGAAGATGAACAGGAATTTGTGTGGGCAACACATCTTGTGGAAACACAGTGACAGCTGAGCTGAGTGGAGGGCAGAGGAAGAGGGTTAGAAATCTCCTCTTGCCCTCCTCCTCCCTGCCAAAATTCACCCAGACACAGTCTAGTCTGAAGTAGGATTCTTCTAATTAAATGTAGGCATCTGCAACTGAGATAGTCCCTTTTCAGTTCTTTAGACAAGATAGATAAAACCAGCTGTATCAAGCATCAACTTATTCTATAGCAGGCACTTAACACATTTCAGGTAAAGTATATCCTTAAACAAGAAATTAAGATTACTCCAAGAGTTCAGGGGACAAGAGTCTTGCACGGTAATCTCTCACAGCTACCTGAATTGTGTGATAAATAATATTTTAGACTATACTTCAGCAGGAAGACAGAGAGGCTAAAAATAGGGGGTTAGACTGGTCACGAAAACAAAAAGCTTTTTATTCAACTGCCAACTATGTTTTATCTATCATTATCTATGTGGTGAATTAGTCTGACTCTGTTAAAATGCTCTGCAACACAGGCTTCCAGAAGATTGTTTAGGACACTGTCTTAAGAAAGGTGCCATCTGGGAAAGTGTCTATCTCTTGCTGACTACAGGTGGAGAGTTGTAAGCTTTTAAAGGTGAATCCTGTCCTAAGTAACTAAACTAATCAAATAATGTAAAGATGGACATAGATACTACAGGACAGTAAAAAGGAATACAGTTTTTATAATGTACAGGAAACATTAGAAATTTAGTGCAATATCAAACTCTTACTTTCTTCTGAAAGTCTGGAAGTTGCTGGTTTCTGCAGTGTGACATGCAAGGGGTCAGCAGTTCTACCAGAATTTATGTGGATTGCTAGTGTAATATCTTAGTGATGTCTAAGAAGAGGAAGTGATTCTGAGATCAGCACATTAGCATGTCAAATTGACTTGTGTTGTTCTGCTTCCTAGGAATTCACATGGAATTCTGGATGCAGTTCATTTATGTGTCCTTTCATAACTCGTGTGCTAGCATCTCGGTGGGTACAGGCAGAGCACGGAATGGCTGAGTCCTGCGTTCTCCTGCATCATCTCTGCATAAAGCTCAGGGGAAGGTGCTGAGGCTGTTCCTCAAAACCCAATCCCAGCTCAGCACACAGCCTGGACAAGGCTGTTGGCAGCAGAAGCTGCCCTGTGTGCCATGGTATGAGGATGGCATAGAACAGGCCACAGCATGAGCTTTCAGTGCTCACCCCATCCTCCTGAGCAGCCCCATTGCTCAGTGGGATGCTGAGACACTGCCACAAGTACATACTCAGATTAACATTGCAGGAAGGAAAATGGTAAGTTCCAGTGCTCAGGCACTGGAATCAAACACTAAATCCACAGTATCTTAGCCTCACACAGGCATAAGGAAGGAGATTCACTCCTTTCAAAGCTCATTTCTACCTCTGTAGGGAATGCAGAGAAACACAGATAAAAAATGCTTCTTCTTTCTCTCTTGCTGGGGCTGAGCAGATTGTCTCAGCAGTGCTTCCCATGTTTGCCATGAAGAAAGCAAATCAGCACTAGGAAGTGAGTCATGATAACTTGGCTGAGCAGAGCCATTCCAGTGCAAAGCCAATGCACTAGAGCATACACAAAACAAATTCCAGTGAAAAAACCTGGCTGAAAACAATTCCTTACAGCAAAGAGTTAAACATCAGTGTGAAATAGAAAGGAACGTCTGTCAAAATTGTAAATGCCTCTCAAGCATAAAAGCCCAAAGTCTGTACCTAAGCAATATTTTGGACCATTCTTTTTCTTATCCAGCAACCCAGATGTTATTTTTTTGCTCCTGCTACTCCTGAAAAGAGGAAAAAATCTTCAGGATCACCACATTATTTTCTCCACCTACTAAACATCTGCAACACTTATTCCTTTTTTCTCAGCTAATCTTTCCCAGTTTTCTTAGTGTGCTTGCTTGTCACTTGAACTGTTCATCAAAATGAAATATAATAAACTTAAAGAATACAATGTATTTATAAAGCCCTTCCTTCATTATAAACTGTTTCTTATAGTTTTACAAGAGAAACTTACCTCGTTCTCTGGCACATCAGCCACTGTATGATGAGGATCAGGATAGTACTTCAAAAACTGGGCTACATAGGTCATGACAGACTTCTCATCTGGCTTTTCAACATCCACATCTAGACAAGTACAAAACATAGAAAATTAAATTTTTAGCTGAATGAAATTAAATTTTTAGCTAAACGTCTAAATACTACGAATTAGCACATCTGGCTTAAGACATGCCAAGTAGTTCAAACTTTTTTCAAGTATGCATTAGGTACCTTCTGGGTCAAGAAGCCTTGGGATTCCTAGTTCTGCTTCTGCAATTGTGAAGGCTTCTTCCAGGTTTTCTCTATTTGACCTTCCTCTCACTTTCTCCATGTCCACTAATTCTGGGCGGATAGCATGAATAAGAGAATGAAATGCAACACCACTCCTCCAACTTTGTCCAAAGTCTTTGATTTCAATTCCAACTTGCCTAAAGAATATGAAAGGGAAAGAAGTTATTAATAACATCAGGATGACGTGAAACAGGGGGAAGAGACATGAATGCTCCACCCAGTGGTTACCCATCATTAAACCTAAACAACTTGTTCCTGTAATGCCCGGTCAGGTCAGCCACAGCTCCGTCTATCCACTGCATAAATTCATTTCCCCCTATGAAGACCCAAGTGTTTTTTATTGTATACATGATGTATTTGTCTCCAGTGGGCTTGCTAGTGCCAATAAACCACGAAGCAATGAGCAATGGAGTGCCCCAAGTTCTCAAAGTTGTTGTATGATACATACAGAGTCTCTGGATGTACACACTTCCCTTCACTGTTATCTCCCTCCCTATAAATCTCACTCCATTAAAACTGCTGCAGTTCAATTAGGTACATCAGTATCATACAAATAAAATTTTAAAAAACCTGCACTGACCTGTCATTTTTTAAAATGATAGCATGAACAGTGACATCACTGCTGTTTAGGGGAAACTATAACACACAAATTTCTCTATGTTCTTATCAAAAGCATGAATGATGCTATAATTTCATATACCCAGAACACTTAATGTGTCCAGTAAAAAGAAAACACAGTTGATCCAGAAAGAGCAATATACAATAAGAAAGTAATCAGAACTGAATCACACTTCTGAATCACTGCATCTTTTACCAGTAATTATGGAAAGTATGGTGATCCACAGACAGCACAACTGTTTTTAACTTTCAGCAAGCAAGCATCCTTTCAGGACACTAAGGTAGTCTTGCCATTGGGATGTTCAAGCAACAGTGAATAAAGCTTTACTCAAATCTCGCTGTGATCAGTGAAACACTTCCACTGACTTTAAGGAAGCAGCCCTTGCAAACTACAGTGTGAAGCAGGCCTAGGTGAAGTGTATCACTAGGCTTCTTTCAACATATTTTATCAACTCTTCCCAATAAAACTGACAGTTTAATGTATGCATCTATTTTCATTTTGTTTGTTTGCATGTCCGGAAATAGAAGCTGGTCACTTTCTACTGTCAGTGTCTTACCAACAACAAGTGCAAAGGAAGAAATTCAAATTAGACTTCACTATTAATTACTGTATTCTACTTATGCATAAGTCTGAATCTTTGTTATTGCATTTCTTTTCTCTGAGGCACCATTCAACAACTGACCATTTCCCCTCTATATTTTGTAAAATTGATGTATTCAAATAGCAGTGATTCCTTAATTTGAGCAAATAAATACATGTTGCTTTACACCTCTGATTTTCTTGTGGAAACTATCAATCTACTGCAGTATCTTTGATACAATTTATGAGGGGGTTAATGTCTTTTTGAAGTTGAAACAGCATGGGATAATCTTACAGAATAAAGGAAAAAAATCTTTAGTTAACTAGACATAGCAAGAAATAACTCCAAAATAACTTGGATTAAAAAGAATGAAGATTCAAGGCAATTTGTGTAATAATATTTCTATTGTATCAAAAACCTGCAGAAGGATATACATAACTTTTCATCACTTGCCTTTCACCAGCAAGTGACAGAATTTAGTGTTCCTACAAGCTTTCACTGAGGAATGCTTAGCCAGCGTGGTACTGGCAGCGTCACAGCGTCGAGTGTTTTGGCAGCGGGGCTAATGCATTGTCATTCAGTCATCTTAATTCCCCTTTCAGCTCCTCATTTTGTCAGAGATAATCCCATTCATTAGTCAAAACTATAAATATGATTGCATGCAAAATTAGTGTAAATCATTACTTATTGCTTGATGTGTTGTATGGTGGTAACATTTAGCAGCCTGTTATCAAGAATATGGTGAGGGGCTCTATAATTATACACAGAGCAAGTTGCTGTACAAACACAGAGCAAAAAGATGTTCCCTGACTCTGAGACTTTAGAATCCGAGCAAAAATCTTTCACTTAAAATATAAAATCAGTTCATCTGTAGTTTACTCACTTTGCTGCGGTGTACTGTAACCATTTTAACAAAGCCTTCCTGGCACTTCCTTGGACCTTGGTTACCACCTTCCGTTTGCTTGGGGGACTTGCAGTTTCTGAACTGACAACACTTTCCACAGAAGAAGCACTGCTAGACAAGGGCTGCAGCTGTGGGAGGTTGCTTGTAAGCTCTTCAATCTGCAGGGGAAAAAAATTAACTCTTTGTAGATAATCTTCTTGATTCACACCAGTTTCTTTAATAATTTCCCAATACAACTGTCAAAATAAAGTTGGGCAGAAGCGATAATTATCTGTGTTTTGTTTAAACATACATTACAGGAGCTTTAGAAATGCTAACGTATGTGCCCGGGTGATGGTCCTAAATTCAGCAGCACTAGGCATCTAATATTTATTGACTTTACACCCTCCAGCTAGAACAATATGCAAGTGTGTCATGTTATCTATTACCACCAAAATAGGAGACAGCATCTTACATGTAGTTTGAGTTCAGATTATAAAATAATCCACCCATTTCAGAGGAGTTTCATTCAATTAAAGAATGGCAGCGACCTCAGTGATTTAATCTGGATAGTTTTTTACTTCCTGTTGTACTGTTCTGGCATAAATCCAATTGTGTTTTTAATTAGAGGTACCTTGTGAAGAAATAATGAATGTATTGCAGGCAAAGCACATTAAAAGTGTTTGCTGAGGGTGAAGGATGGTGATTATGTCTTTCATCAAACAAACATGATTAACTTGATTCTGTCAAGAATATTAATTTGACTAACAACTTGGTTTTTTAACATAAAAAAGCTATATCCAGAGGATGTTGCAGGACTTTTTAATCCTGTCCTCTTAAAATCCAAAGCTGTCACATCACAGAATGAGTCTGCCAGAATGAGAACCACAGCTTCTATGGAGTCCTGCTTTCAATCAGATGAACTCTGAACTACTATCATAGCGGCCGTTGGTGAGGAGAACAGCATCCCTGAGACATCACTAGGGAGCCAAAGAACTCCATAAAGAAGAGCAATAAAATTAGTTGTTATTTTAAGTGTTGAACAGTGACTCACTTTGTTAACCCATATGGACAGGATTTAGAAGCCAGTTTTACCTCCCACCCAACTTCAACAAAATGCAAGTTATTTCTCCTCTACAGAGTCAATCCTTTTTCAGTCATAGCTAAATCTCGTCCTTGCAAATACGTGCATCTTCCAGTGAAAATCATCATGTTTACATGTATGGTTTGAGAATAATTACGGACTGACATCTAGTGCACCAGAATTGGACTTTCAGCACAATGACCAGTGAGGTTGCTAAAGATACTTGCAACAGGAATCCACAATTCTATTACTTTCCTATTTTGCTATGTTTTACTCTTTAGAAAAAGCAGAAGAATATGTTTTGCTGATGAAGGAACTCTGTTCTTCACAAAGACCAATCTATTCCACAGACAAGAATCTAATTTTACTCAATGTGAAGCACCCCCACCATCAATTGTTGCTTTATTCAGGATCAGACCCTCAGCAAACTACGAAGTGACTTAGCTACAGTGAAAGACTGGAACCACACCAGTTCATATAAAGATGATCTGAACCATTGTTTGAGCAAACAACACTGAAGTATAAAAACTGTAGTACCTGAAAATATAAAATTATGGTCCACACCAAGCCAAGCACAATAGAAGGCCTGCCATCAGCAATATCAGTTGAGTTGATGTTGACAAGCTTAATCTATATAGAAAAGAAAATGTGTTATGATCACACAAAGAATAGCAATTATGAAATGCATTTCAAGTAGGTTCTGTATTTCAAATGCATTTCTGCAATCAAACAAGATTCACAGTTAAAAAAAAACAACAAAATATTGTATAGTGCAGTTTCACATTTAGAAAAGTATAATTTCACATTTAGAAAGGTTTTGCAAGTAATGGAAAACTTTTAAGACCAATCCATGCTATTATTTGTAAAAAAAATGATTTCAAGCAGGAAGGAAAATAAAAATTAGATAGAAACACTGTACAAACCGGAGATCCTCTGTATACGGACTAGCGTGAAAAGCAAAAGGAAAAATATGACAAAATATATATTTTAAATGCTTAATTATTAGGTAAATGCATTAATCTATTTTTTAATGCAAAAAAATCACATTTTTGGCATATCTTACAATAAAATTTTATCAGGAGAGCAAATTAAACAGTCTGCGTCAGATTTTAAACTATGCAGGGGTTCCTTGATATAGTTTTAACCCATGTGTAATGAAAAGAGAAAAATGAGCTTACAAATAAAAATATAAAAAGGAAAGGGGTGGGAAAAGCATAAAAGAAAGAAAAGGGAAAAAAGAATGCTAGGGTTCTCTTGCAAAGAGCATTTCATTGTAAAGGCTATCACAACCACTGATTAAGGCCCCTTTGCAAGACAAGCATAACAATAGCTCTTTTAAAAATAGAATGGGAAAAATTAGTTGTCCAAGGTCAAATTAAGTTTTTCAACAGAAATAGGAACAGATTTCATGGCTATTAACTCTCAATTGGTAATCTACAGTCTGAATAAAATATCACCGTAAAATAAGTTCATTACATAGAAGGAAATAAATGGGAGAATATATGGTAAAGAAACTAACATGTAGATAATGCTCAAGGAAGTGAAATAAAACAAGTAGTATTGGAAAGTTAGCAACTATGTTAGTACTTATTTCCTCAGCAAACTGAGGGTCAGACACCACTCATGATAAAAATATGAATGACTGCCAAAGTGCCCATCTACTACAAGCTTGTTCAGGGACAAAGGTTGTGGAAAAACCTTGGTGAACCTTGGAGTCTAAAAGAAAAGATGGAGAATGACTTCAAGTGACCTCGCTTGTCTCACCAAATCAGAGAAAAGACTGCATTTCTCTGAATCAGCAGTTGGAAATCCACTAGATAATGTCAAGTGCAAACAAAATGTTGTTCAGACATGTAAGGTTTCTTTCCAAATTAAATCTGCACAGGCTGCTGTGGAAGAGGCAGAGGAGAAGTCCCCATAGTTTACATTTTCAATCTTCTCCACCAATAAATCAACAGAACTCTAGGAAAACTGACATTACTAGTTCCTCCACCAGTCAATAAGGAAGATTTTCTAGTCCCTATCTTAAAAAAATATACCTCATTCTCTCAGCTGGACCAATTCCAAGAAAAGCTTTTATTTTTCTAGAAAATTAGGTTATTTTAGTATCTTTTACAAATCAAAAGATTTACAGGGACCCAGCTAAGATTTCTGACTAGGCTACTGATCACACAAGCACAGCCTATCTAGTCTATTTATTGAGTTACCTTTATATTTTACACCTTTAAGATGGATCTAGAACTAAAAATAAACTCTTCAGAACCATGAGAAAACAAATTTTGTCCAGAATAGTATCTGTTAATTGTGAACTGCAGTTTGTAGTGTAACAGGAGTATTAGCAGAAGTCTCTTTGGACAATGAAAACAGGAAGCTGACTGAATGTGTAATAAGGTTTATTTATGGGAGAGCCCACAAATAGAGGAAGGAGATCCTGTGGTTCAGAAATATATTTGTCTTTGGTTATACATTTTCAATTTTAAAAAGTTCTCTTTTAGATTCATTTTTACGGGCGTCAGCTAAGATTGTTTCCCCTATAACATAACTGTAATTAGGTCTAGATGCCAGAGAGTCAAAAAAGAGGGAAAGACTGCCAAAATCCAGCAACTCCCAGGGAATAGAATTCTGGAGATGTAAAATTGATCAGCTGTAACACCTGCATTGACAAAAATTGAAGTAAATTGCAGAAATCAGGGGAAAAAATATCTATAATCAAATGAAAAAAAATCCAGATCTGAATCATTCTGAGTCATCAGTAGAGAGCAGAGTCAGGAAAAAGGCTAGGAACACATTGCTTTTATATATATTATTTATAATAGCTAGATCAAAATGAGTTTTTAAGTTTTCTTTCGTTAAATTTAGAAAATATTTTTTACTTCTCTAAAACAGCCACAGCACTGACTGTACTAGAATAAATTCAGGAATTAGTGTGAAGTCCTGGCAAGCTAACAAGGGGTCATATTGCACTAAATTTTCATATCTGTAATTTCAGCAAGTAGATTTTTTTGCACAGATTTTGCATGTAAAAGCTAGTGAAGACCAGAAATCTGTTTTTTTTAAGTCAGAAATGAGTGTCTCTCCTGAACTAAAGTTCATTCTTTGCTGAGAACAGCAATGGAGAAGTAGAGATCATTAGGAGCCAATAAGAACAGTAAAAAAAGAAAAAAAATCCTCCAAGGTGATTCATTATTAGTTTTTTAAAAAAATATATAAAAAATACAATTTTGACCCATGCATTACCACATATTAGTGTTGGACCTTAAAATTTTTACTCTACAGCAGCTGTTAGGCATTGTGTAGAAACTGAAGACTGCATACATAGCTCAGATTTTGGAGAATAAAAACAGATGGGTGGATACAAATCATATTCTTATGGAGACAAAGAAAGAAAAAAGTAAAACCAGGGCTAAGTGCTACCATACCTACCCGTCTACCTTCTAGAAACTTAAGAGCTGTGCCAATGTTGGCAACCCAGTGAATTCTCTTCAGATGACGTCCCTGCTCACAAGGCTTAAAGAGAAAGAACAGATTAAACTTCAATTAGAGTTACACCAGTTTGCTTCAAAAACAGAACTTCCAGACTATTGTCAGTGCCTATGTAAAAATGCTCCTTGGAACAGTGAAATTGTTGAATTCTGTCTTTGCATACACATCACAGGGAGGGCTGACAGATACAGGGGGCACAAGTGTGATAATTCCATTATAGAAAAGTTACATACGTCCTAATCTCAGGATGCAAACTGTTGGCTTCAGTCCATAAACGTCATTAAATCAGAGAACTGTTTTTCTAATGTAAAATAACTACTACTGTTTTGTACACACACACACACACATATATATATATGCATTTGAGAGAAAACGTCATTCTCTTGGTGAAATATTTTTGCCTGCAAAGTCAAAATGGTTGTTATTTTTAAAAATCAGTCTTGAGTGAAGACATTTTACCTAAGAATTTTCATCCCATTTCTCTAGTACATTATTGGCAATTAAAATCTCAGCTAAATTCCCACTGAACAATGAATTTCATTGAACTTAAGACGTGTAGGCTAAAAAAAGACAGATTTTTGTTAATTCAATCAAGAATATATGCTAAGTTTCTAATACTCGACAGTGAAATTAAATTCCCCACGGAATTTTTTATTGTAATGCAAATGTGCAAGTATTGTAATTTAAATTCCCGTTCAGGATGTTACAAATGGCTTTAACAAAGGGTCTACTATAAATTCTGAATCCCTCTTGCAGTTACTACAGGATATCATATGCTAGTGTATATAACCTTTAAGTTCACAAACATTATTCTAGTTTTGGAATATCTCCTGTCTTTCCCTAATTAATATAGGCAGGATACAACCCCGAGAATTTCACCGTAACAGGTGCCATCATTAAAATTCTTTTCCTGTTTTACTACTTCTGCTTTGCCACAAGAGGGAGGCTTTCTGTCTCAGACAAACAGAAACTGAAAGGGACACATTTCAGTGGAGCAGAAACACACTGGGAGGCACAGCTTTATCCTGTTTCACAGTAAAATCGTTTTTGCAGTGTGATGATTTACTGCCTAATTTTGGGGTTCACCTGCAATCAAAACAGAGGTGAAATGTGAAAAGGAGAGCGAACTGTCTGCATGTGAGGGAGCCTGTAACCCCTGGGCCCTGCAACAGACTCCTTCAGATGCTCCTTCAGATGCTGCCACCTGATCTGCGAGCTGGGTGGGGAACAGTCAGAGCCCTTGGCCTAAAATCCTTTCATTTTTCTCCTCCATGCACGAAACTAGCTTGCCTCTCATCAAGAGACAGCTGAGGAGCTTGTATGAGGTTTTCTTGAGACAAAGCCATAAATTTAACAAGAAAAGTCTCATTTTTTTTCAAGATGCATAGAAATAACTTGCAGTTTAGACTTTTATTGTGTCATAGCAGCAAAACCCAGATGAACTGCGAAGACCAATACAAACAAGAAACTTTTATGAGCTACATGGCAAAATTAATATAAAATGCATACAAACAAGCATACCTGTAATAATCTGTAATAATGCTTTGTAATCAGAAAATCCACTCAGTGAAAAACTTATTTTCCTACGAAGGAGCGAGGTTTTTTTACAGCATAGAAATACAGAAACTTACTAGAAAATTGTGTCCCACAGAAGTTATGCAACTATCTTGTATATTTATAAGGAAGAAAGTTCTTACCAGCTTCTGCCCTGAAAGAACTTCCAAAAGGGCAATTAGCATTACCCCATCTTTGATATCTTCAAACAGGTCATTCACCAGCATGGGAGGATTGCGCTGAAAAGGGAGAAGGCTTCAGATATTATAAGGGCTCACCAGTACTGCATCCTAACTCAATTCCTTTTGAACAGAAACCCAAAGAGAGTGGCTGATCCCCTTCTTTGTGTTCTATAATGTTTAATGTCAACATATCCTTTAACCACTGCTTTGCCACTACATTGTTTACTTAACATTTATGGCACAGCACTGTAATATTTTGTGGATTTCTGCAACTGATGGTACAAAGGAAAAGCCTCCTGGCCCCTGCAAGAAGCAGAGGAACACACCAACAGCTGCCCCTGGTTCTACAAAATACACCCAATTCACAGATGTACTATTATAGTCACATTCCAACCCATCAGATTATTTTCCCTCATGTTAAGTATTTCACAGAAATTTCACTCTCTCAATCCAAGCAACAGGAGGAGCTGTATGAAGGGAAGATCCCTAGAGTAGTGTAGCAGGCTGAGTGATGCTGCCACTTTCTCACAGCTGACAGTTGTTAGACTGAGTTGTATTTTCTCTCCTCCAGCCTCGCAGGCTTCAGGTGCTGTCAGCACTGTCTCAGCTCCTACATAAACTGCTTACTAAATGCCTTTACCTTCACAAGAACAACAATGAAAATATTCAGAAATATATAAACAGACAATCTTTTAGAGATTTTAAATAACAAGGTCACATAATAAAACTGTGTATTCTTAAATGCACCCCAGTTTGTGGAATTACGGCTCTCAGCTGGTCAGTAGTTTAATGATCATAAAATGTCTCTCAGAAACAAAAAGTTTAAACTTGGTCCAGCTGACAAATAGAATAGGCATCCCCCATTCCTTGTGAAGCTTTTCTCTCAACTTGTGAGAATTCAAATACCTTATGAAGATGACCATGATGATAATAATGATGATGATGACACTAATAAAAATAATGATGATAATAACACTAATACCTGCTCATTCACTTAAATTATAATGAGACTACAAAATTCTTGAAACTACTTTAGGTATAACAATTTACTTTTGAGGTACTTGTTAAAAGAAGCACTTGCACAACAAATTATCTATTACTTTTTTGTGTAGAAATAGAGGTTTGAAAAGATGAATCTAGCAAATGAAACATTGCTCTTGAAAAGGTAAAAATGCAGTAACAAATCACAAGAAATAAAAATATTCTGGCTCCCCAAATGAAAAACATTGTTCCATTTGGATAAAGTAGTATTTCAATGAAACATAATTTTTGGCAAAAAGTGAAAAAAGAACTCTGCTGGCAGCACACTTCAGCTGAGATTTGACATGCTCTAATAGTCACACTAATAGAAGTCCCTATTTTCTCATGTATATAAAATAAAGCAGCACTACAACTCATTATGCGGGTATATTTAGTCATAGTTCTTTTTTATTTCTTAGCAATGCAATAGATAATGTTCTTCTTTGGATCATGCTCTTCCTTAATATAACACCAAAGAAATCAATGGAGCAAGAGGGTCACTGAAGATTAATTTGTCCCAGTCTTGCATCACAGGCAGTTGACACAAATGCAATTAATTTTCCTCACCTTCTATGTGATCATCTCCTGCTTGAAGCTTGGAGCAGCTTTGGTTTTATCAGTATTACCGCATGATAAAACACTGAAGAATTATGTGCTAAAATAATTCAGCCATAAAGACCAGAGGATTACAGCAGCTGCCATCCTAATCCAACAGGAGGTGAAGGCCTGAAAAAACCACCTATCCAAATGCCCCAGTAGTGAGGTTTGTCTCTTGAAATTGACTCTGCAGCAATGAAGAAAGATGGATTTCTTATAGTGGGAAATTTGGGATACATTTAGACTGAAGGGTAAGTGAGATTTAGAGTACCCCACGATTCTGGTGCCCCTAAAGTGCTTTCCAGACAACCTTTTAGAGCATAACACAAGTCCCTTCTAACGTGTGTGCTTTGGTATCCTTACAAGTCCAGGTAGAGGTCAGAATTTGTCTCATCCTGACATGAAGCCAAAAGTCACCTGGAGGTCATCTGCAAAGAGAGTCTGGGAAGAACTTCTGGTTTCCCCAGTGTATAGCTTCACTATGTTGTTAAAACCTTTGATCATCCAAGCCAAACCCTTGCTCTGAACCACCCTTCAGTGGTATTGACAGAAGCTACAAAAATGAGATTTACACCCCAACTGAGGCTTGGTACTACGGAAAGGCAGTGAAAGCATCCCAAGTGAATTAACACCTACAGTATTTTCTACTTGAATCAAACATTGGTTTGGGGAAAAACAGCTGTAGAGAGAGTAATGAATAACATGAAAAGGAAAAAAGAAGCCATCAAACACCAAAGCAGGTAAGAGCTGATACTCTGAAGTGTGAGAATCACAACTGTCCTTAACTCAGCAAGATTAAATTTACTTTTTTTTGGTGGAACGGTGTATAATTACAAACACTGCCAGTGTTTAACAGCTCACACCATGGATCTTACACCAATAAAACTGGAACAGAAGGTAGATACAATACCTGTGTCACAAGATCTCCTGTATAAGAGCCCTCTAATATGCAAATTTAGTTAACTATATAGACTGCCAGAAACTTTCTTAGTAATACACTATATAATAAAATGTTTTACACTTCCCTGAAGATATTAACACCTAATTACAAGGAGGTTACACTGTCATCAGGTTTCATATATCACCTTTTTTTTAACTACTTTGGGAACGTAAGTATGGGATTTAGATTATTATTATTAATAATAATAATAATAATAATAATAGTAATAATAGTAATAATTTTAGTCACTCTCAGAAATATGGAATTTGTTCTATTTCTAGTGGCACATATAAAAAATAGACTCCTCTTTTACACAAGCATAGATATCAATTTTATTCCCCATGCTGATATACACACTAGCTGATAGTGAAAAGTTCACATGTGCTTATTTATTATACATGGATCATTGCACAGGATGGCTTAAGCTACTTAAATGTATTCTAGCAGATCCTCCACTGATATTGACACATCTTCTGTTGGAATGGGTAAATACCTACTCCTTGGCTGCATATGTAATGTCAAATGAAGTGAAAGATGAAGGTGAGCACTGATTACTTATCAGCCTCCAGAGAATAAAGGTTTGGGGATTTTTTTAAGCTACATTCACTTAGAATATATCGAAAATTTTTTAGTGACTCAGACTTAACAACTATTCCTTTAGTTCCTCAATACACTGCCAAAATACTAAATGTAAATCAGTAAAAGCAAAGAAAACTAACTTAAATGTTTGCAATTTTTAAATGTTAAATGTACTTCAGATTTTGGCAGTTTGCACGTAAATGTATAGCCCTAGCAATGCAATGAGCTGCAATGATCCTAATACACTCTATTTTGTATATTGGAAATCCTTTGCAATGAATTATCTTGTAATACTAGAGAAAATCCTTCAATTATAAAGTTTTTGAACAAAATTTCTTGGCAAAACTCAGAATATACTTCTATGAATAATGAGACATTAAGTCTACAAATTGCCAGGTGGTCCACAGTATGATTTCAGCTGCCTTAGTATTTGATGAAAATATTTTGCAAGCTTCTTCAAGAAAGAAAAACAGCAAATTAAGATTAATGATCTGCTACATTCTGAATTGCATGAATTCTGTTAAAGACTCCTTTATTGCAGTTTATCCAATTGCAGTAGAGTAGTTTATAGTGATAAGGATACTTAGGAACAGTCATGTCCCAAGGAGGGAGTCCCACTCAAACAAGTAAATTCATGCAATCTGTAGGAAGAATATGAATTAAAGGAGAATGAATCTTCAAGGCTAATAAACTAGATTTTGCTAATATTAAATATTTGTTTAAATAAATGTATTTAGAACGGATCAAAAGTGGAAAATGTAGAAGAAGTGCTTTGCATATACACATTGCTCTTAAAACTCGTCTAATTTGCTGTAGTGTCCAGGAAATATTCTGAATGACCTAAAGAACTGAACATTGGTACATAATAAAAATATTTGACTGATAAGCCTCAAAAAAAATGGTTTTAGTAGACCTGCAATCTCTAGAAATTTCTCCTCATCTGCAGTAAGATAAGTTTTGTAAAATCCAGACTTCAAATATGTAACAAACACATATTTGCTAAGTTTTACTCTTCTATTGCAAGACTTTTTCTTGCATTTAATTTCTCATTTGCATCTTTTCTTCAGGAATCTTTTTTGGTACTTAACTTCTCTAATGAATAAATCATACTATACAAATAACAGCATCTGCATCATAATGAATTCCAATGCAGACATTGAAAACTATTTTTGCTGCATTAATTTTCAAATAATCTTTCAAAAACTGCTGAAAAACTACTGAATTTGTCTCTGCAGGGAAATACATGTGAGAACAGCAAGTACAATGTGAAATTTCCATAACTCTGTAATGCTGGATCCCTCCTCTTCCACAATTTAATTCCTAAATCCATATGAATGTTCTCATATTCCTTTCTGTTAGTGACTTTTTTAATTACAAAAGCTGAGGGACTCAGTCCTAAGTTTTGCATGATTAATTTCATCAAACAAATTAATTTAGCATTCATAGTTGAACATTAGAGGTTATATGAGATACTGGATGAAAACTTAGTTACTGTTGAAGCAGAAAGCTACCGGTCAGATTTTCCTCATTATGCAGTCAAGGTGCGCAGTAGCGTACTTTTTTTGTGTCAGTGCCTAAGATACTGGGAGTCTCTGTTTTCCCACTTAAAAGAGACCAAAAGGCTCAAACTCAGTTAAATGATGAAATCTGATGAGGTTCACGAAAGACCAAGTTACATTTACATTTTAAGAACAAGCTAACACCATGGACAGCACAGTGAGTGAGACCGCTGTTTCTCGATATACGTGTTTCCTTTTCTTTCTTTCTTTGCAATGAAAGGCATCATTTAACATGAGGCTTAACACTCAGGTTTAATTCAGCATTATATAAATATTGCATAAATACAATTTAACATTTTCATCCATTCTTAGTTTTATTTCTAATTAATATCCATCCTCAGCTTTTGTTTTTTAATGTGTGCATCTTCTTAATGGAAACACAAAATTAACAGTAATTTCTTTCAGTAAGTAATTGTTGTTCACTCTATCAGTGAGTTTACAGAAATACTTTTTTGAGTACAAATACTAAAATTATCCCTGTGCCTGAGAACAAAAATTTTATTTGATTGTGTTAACCCAATTTAAAGTTTGAGTTTCAAACTTTGAAACTATTCCCTTAAACTTTCATGAAAAGTGAAAATGGCAATAAAAAGCACACACCTCAGCTTTTAAAGAAAGTGATATATCTTTCATCTTTACTCATCTAATCCTATACCTGTAATGAAATGAGAAGATATTTAAGTAATTGCTACTCTGAATGCAAGCAATGTCTCCTTTTTGAAATATTTGGTGTAAATTTGCTCTGTATTGTAAATTTAGATTTTGGAAAAGATGCTTCAAAAGACAATTAGAAGCATACTCAAATTATGCCTATATTTTAAAGCCAAGACTGAGATGAGGAAGGACTGTTCTACAACCATAGAAAAATATGAAGAAATCATATGGAACCAGAAAACTTCTTGTCCTGTTACACATGCATATCTCATTTATCATTAGCAGAACTAGATAGATGCACAAAAGTTCAAAAGGATAGCCAGAAGATAGACCACATTTATTTCATAGATTATGACCCAATTTCTGCAAGTGGCTGGCAGAGGAAACATGCTTTCCAACTGATGAGTCTCTCCAGATGACTGCTCAGAATCACAGAACAGAGACAGCTGGGGTTAGAGAGACAGCAGAGGGACAGACTCAGCCTCCTGCTAACAGCTCACCCAAAATGAAGCTGCATTACACTACCTGCTAGTTAGCATACTTGCTGGTCCTTCTCTGTTCATCCCCTCTGGGAGAGAGCACAGCCTGCACCAAGGCTGTTTTACCTCCACCTTTTCAGTTGTCCCATAATTAGCTGATGCCAAGTCCTTTACCTGTCCTCTGCTTGTGAAAAAGCATCTTTGAAGTACAAAACATGATTTTAAAAAGGTAGCAGTCTATCCCTAGGAGTGAGAGAGAATAAAAAATGCACACCTTTCTCCTATTCCCTTTCATAAAATTCAATGCATAAAATCATAAAACCATTTAGGCTGGAAAACTGCTTTAAAATCAAGTCCAACCATTAACCTAACACTGACATGTCCACCCCTAAGCCATGGCCCTAAGTACCACATATGCACCTCTTTTAAATACCTCCAGGAATGATGACTCAATCACTTTCATAGGCAGCCAATTCCAGTGCCTGACAACCCTTTTGGTGAAGAAATTTCAGCAATAATCTCATTTAATTTATCATTGCTTTACTCATTCGTATTTATTTGTATCCATATTTTCAAACCCATTCCTAACATTAAATAGGCAAAAATATTTAGTTAAATGTACTTGATAGCCTTAGTTATTGAATTTGTTTCTGTTTCAATTATAGCATCACTTTTTAGATGGAAAACATAAACTAAGATCTTACAGTTTAGTAGGGAAGGATCTTTTACTCCTAGCAAGCCCTGACAAACAATCACACCCTGCTTTATGTTTCCAAACCATGAATTTGCCTTGGTTCTACCTAAAATAACCAAATCATTTCTGTATTTCCATTTCTTTCAAATCACTACTCCTCACAATGTGAGGAACTGCCCCTTTTTAGATCTTCCTTTGCTCTACTCACCCAACACAGTGTAAGGATGACAACTCTAGCTGAGTAGTTTCCTTTCTTTGCTATCTCTAAACCCATCTTTCAAATTGCTGCAGTAAAAAACCCCATCAATCTTTGTGTAGAAACCATTAATTTCTCCTGCTTTTGAGGTTTCATGCAATACTTACTCTCAAAACCCCTCAAACTCATTTATGATTAAACATTTCTTTAGATAATCATGGTGTTAAGAGTTACAGATACCCTAATCATAGTTTTCAGATTTCTCTTACATCCTCCTATTACTTTTTCCATTAATAATTTTATGAGATTATCAAAAATGGCAATGAAAGGAAAGAAACCAAAGAGTTTTCCAAGAGTAGCCAACAGATAGAGAGAAAATTTGACATGAAGTTACTGTTAATTTTGAATGCATAGACTGAGCCAAATTCAGCACAGTGTTTCTGGATTGATGGTGAGACACAAAGGGAAAATTCAAATCGCCTTCCCCCTGGCTCAGCTTCACTCCTTCACTCCCATCTCCTTTCCCCTCAGTATTGCTGTTTCTGTGCTGCAAGAGTGAGGCCAGTACTTCACAGTGATCCTCACTAGGTACCAGGTTAGTAGATGTTCCACTTTTTATTGGGTCAAAGATGAGAGCAGAATGCAGACAATGCTGCCTAAAAGTGGGTCTCCTTCCAGGATTTTTCCATATCACATTTAAAAGGTTTCCAGACAATGGAGATCTTACAGATCCCCCATTTCTTTTGGAACAACCAAAACCACAACAACCTTCTACAAAACTCAAATAGCCTAAATATTGAAATTTTGAGTTAAAAGTCAGAACATGAGTGCAAGGGGAGTCCTGGGCACTTCAGAGATCCACAGCTGTGATAAACTCAGAAAAATATTTCCACTTACGTATTTCCAAAAATCTAACTAACAAAGTTTTAAAAGCTTAAGCTTTGAACACTTAAGAATTTGAATGGCATGGGTCACTCCTGTTAAGTCTAATTTCTATATAAAGAGTTTCTCCTTCTACAGCGTAGCAGTGGAAATGGGAAGCAGAGCCAGATGATCTGATTTAGGCAGTGAGGCAAACATGCTGACAGCCATCAATAAAACCATAACAGATGCAGTTTTCCTGCTGAAGTGTGAATTAAAACAAATCAGCTGCCACAAGTAACTAAAAGGTACCTCAGGTAGCTAGAAATCAGGGCTGTGCCTGTGTAACTGCCTGGTTTGAATGTGTTTGATCAGTCTTTACAGTGTCAGGCCCATTAAGGAACTAAACACCTAAATCATGCCAGTCAAAGGGTTCATCTGAGCCCTCCTGGCCCAAAGGGACTGGCACAGCAGGAAACATTCACAAATCCCAATCCAGGGCAAAATCTCTTAATGGAGCTGCCTCCACGACTTTGTCTCTTCCCAAGGATTAGTTTGTTGACTAGGGAATTATCATGACATGCACACACACACACACTCTCGTAATATCTAACAATACGATATAGATACCCTAATAGTTCAATTTTTACACAATTATCAGATTATTACAACACAATTAAGAAATAGATGAACATGAAATAAGAGTTATTTTTCTCCTCTGACACTCATTCACAGCCCCCTTAGCTGATACTTCAGCAAACACTGAATCCCTATCAATTTCAGTTGAAGGAAACAGAACACAGAGAGCTTGAATTCTCTCTTACATGTAGGGCTTTTCCAAATTATTTTAAAGATAATATGGGGACAGATCTCATTTGCAGTGAGAATCCACTGTCCAGAAATCCTGAAGATAGCTTTGTTCTTGCAGTTGAATTTTACAATGCCAATGTAGTTGGCTCCACAGTAAGTTTTTGCATTACATCCCTCAGCAATAAATATTATATCTATATATAAATAAATGTAAATAAACGTTGCTTCTCTACCATACTGTCTCATTAGATCAAATCACACGACAGAATTATATGGGCTTCCTGCTTTGCTTGGCTCATTTTTGAGGGTATTATTTGCCAGTTCCTTACATAAAAGTTACAACAGTGCTGTTACAGCTAGTCTTTACTCAGTTTTAATGATCATTAATCTTCTGGTATAAAAATACACATTACAAAAAGCTGCTCTTGAAGTTTAAAACTTTAATTTATCGGTCTAATTGATAACTATGGTTAGAGCTGTGTTGTGTGAAAACTCCAGGAATGCCAAACAGAATCCTACTGCTTATGTTTTCAGATAAGATTGGTACCAATTGTAGCTTAATTCTTTTAAACTATGCGTAAATCGCAGTCTTTACTTGCCTCAAGGCAAAACCAGGAGTTTTGTGGTAAGAAGAAGAAGCAACAATAGGTTCATGACAAATCCCACAATTCATCAGATAATTAATTTGGCACTGGATTAATGAAACACGAATGCCTGTAACTAGACCAAACTACACAAGACATGACTTAAGTTTCATTTGAATGTACTGTGTGCCTAATATTTCCATTTCATAGAAAACAGTTTCAGATGGCTGAAATGCCAGCTACCTTTCAGTTCTGGCCAAAGAAGCTGGGTGGCTGCCTCTGGACACCACTTGCACTTCTGCAGCTGACCACTACCATGCTGAGATTCATCCTCAGTGGTGTGCAGATGAGGAGGATCCTTTTTTAACTTTAGGAAATACTGCTCAGAGAAATCTGGCATATTCTATACTCCTGAGCTATACAGGCATAGATTAATAGGCTTGATTTAAAAAAAAAAAAAAGAAGAAGGAAAAGTTTCAAAGCCACGTGTTACCTTAGCCAGATGAGTATTGATCCATTTTGTGAAAGTCCTTTTCTGCACTGACTCTTGCTCATCTGAGAATAAAAGGAAATCAGATTGATTAAACATCACTGGATACTCTCAGATTCACATGGTAGAAGAGTAAAATTTCCTACTGACAACAAATGTACTCTGCACTTGCTGGAAATAACTAGATTTTATTGAGACAGTCAATTTTGCCTATTTGACTCATAAATACTTCTTATTATTACAATAATGCTCTGATACCTGATTATTTGAAGAGTTTCATAGCAAAGTTCAAGTCGTAACAAGCTAATGACCAGAAAGACACCATTTGAAATCTAAATATCAAGATGAATTTGAGTTCTAAATCCATACTATACTTACCCAAGGTCTGACCACCTAGAATTCTCTACACTTTTTAACTAGAATCCACATCTCCCATAGCCAAGCTGCTTTTATGTAGAAAGTCAGCTAGGGACTTAGAAAAAAAATACTTCTTAGCAGATGTATTTGAAAATGTTTAGAATGTTGAATTAAAGATTTGAAATTGCATTATCCAACTTATTTGTGCCCTGGGAGATCCTGCCAGGAAGGAGCCATTAGCTAGTTCAGGCAGTTTCTACACCACTACTCACTACATCCCTCAGTCCTGTCTCGAAGCACTTGTCTGGTTTATGGTGAATTTCCCTGACTGTCAGATTGTCCCTGCAGGACAGCTGCCAGATGCACAGATAAAAATAGCTCCCAAATCAGCTCCTCCAGCTTCAGCAGCAAGGGTCACGGCAGTGGAGGGAAGAGCATCACAGCATTATAACCAATCCACAAAGTCCTGCCCCTTTCTTTTGGGTAATCAGTTTTGACACATGGAATAGCAGAGGTATTCAAGTACTTGTAACAGAGGTTCTTCTTTCAAAAACAGGAGGAAATATCTATTTCATGGAAAAGCAAATCATATTATTACGATCATCAGTTCTGAACTAACACCTTCATTTCCCAACAGAAAATTCAAATAAATACAATTGCTGTTTGATGATATTTACTTTTCATAAGAATATGTGTAAATCCCAAAACCTACAGATAGAATATCTAATTTTAGCTCCTGCATTTGTTAGAGACTTGTGCAGCACTGAACAGCATTTTTCCTATTCCACATCTGTAAAATTAAAATGGAATATTCCTTAACACCCAGTAAAGTTCTGGAATAGATAATTACTATGCTTGTTGCATTCCTAACAATACACTCCTTAATTTACACTCATGCAATGCTGCCTCACAATTAGGGTACATAGGGATAGGAATCACCACACAAAATTCATAGGTCAAAATGTTATCTTCAGTTGATCAGTGGCCAGATACAAGCCTCCAAAAAGTGTCTGTGCATTATAATTTAGGAATATTTTCTTTATATATAAATATCATCTCACATATAAGAAATACCAAAGGGAAAAAAGATACCTACTCTAACCAGCATCTATTTCTAGATTATCACAATTTATGCCTAAGAAAATAATTTTGCATTCTTTAGTTTCCTTTGATATCATTGGGCAGGTAGGATTATATAAGTTTTTGAAATATATTACATTCCCAGATTCTACTTGCACTCATGGGTTTTTTCAAGTTATGAAAAATGTCACTAAGATACTGCATCATGCTTCATTCCACACTGACTGTTTATGTCAGGGAGGCGTCTGGGACTTTGTATGTGACAATTGTTTCTACATTCTGAAAAACAGACTTTGCACTGTATGGTTCCTAACCATGAACAAGCTTTCCTTTTGACACACAGTAAATGTCAGCTGTGCCCTGCAATTACATACATAGGTAACTAAATTAGCTTCCATGGAAGTACTTGCACAGTTCTATTAGGTTGTGTGTAAATAGGTGTAGGGATAGAGATCAAACACACACAGAATTAATCCAGTTCTGCCTTAATTCACACCTCTGTAACTTAAAAAAACTCCCCAACAACACTGATACAACAAAGGCATGCCATAAGAAACAAACCAGGCCTTCAGAACTGAAACTTCTTATCAATTGAGTGAAAATTATTCCATAATTTGTAGTTCCAATGCATCTTGGTGATTTAAGAGACTTCTGACAAAAACTGGAAATCGGAGAACTGGTTTCCAGCTTCTAAAGAGACTCTTTATGAGCAGAAGACACACAGAGTTTCAGTCATACCAACAAACAACGGAAATAGTCCTTCTAAATAACCTGTTTCAAGGGAATTTATGTGAGCAATATATTCTTTATGAGCCCAGCTGGAACCACTAACAATAAAGTTTCCTTGGTTCTAGTGTTTATTTTGTATAGGCTTAAAAGGAACAGATTTTACCACTGTAAAATCTATGTCTGAACAAAACACAAGCAGAGCATTGATTTTTAAAATTCCATTGTACATATGCTTTTTACAAATTCGCCTGGAAGCAATTGTGTTATTTTCATAGATCAAATTCTCTGCACAGGTACAGTTTATCTATACCCACAGAACCTGTGTGTCACGCAGCTCCTTACGCTCTCCCCACTCGCAAGGACTGTCGGCTCCGTGTTCGCACCACTTACCCTGCTGGCACTGAAAGAATTCAGGAAGCACATTCAATAACAGGACATTTCTGCCACCAGCACCTTTATAGTGAGCCATAAGCACTGCTGCTGCTGCTGCTGCTGCTGCTGCTGCTGCTCCTGCGGCTTCTACCCCTCTCTCGTGTGCAGCGTTTCTTTAGAATTCAGCCAGAAGTAATTTTTCAACAATGATCCGATTTCTTTCCCTCACTGGAAATGCAGGCCTCTTACAAAAATCCCTCCACCATCTCTTATCAGAGAATTCACATGAAGCCAAACCTTAAAAACATCCTTATATATTCTTGCAGAGATGCTACAGCCAGACAAAGCCAGCTGTATTGGAAGCAGCAGTTCTGCTGGTCTCACTGCCATCATCCTTCTTCACTGTTTTTCTCTGGAAAGATTTTATTATCCCAGCACCAGCCAATCCGCTAGCAGAAATCTCTGATGTCAAGAGCTTGAATAATTCATCCAGGGACCACGACAACCCAACTACACTGCTGATATCCTAAAGCAAAAAGATGTGTGCAAAAATTGATGCAGCTTTCTCACCAGTGCTTTTTTAACAACACAGTGCTCAGTAAGTAAAAATGGTTGAATGGCACAGACCTTCTTCTCTAGGTAGTCACACATATAATGGAAAGCAGCTTTTAAAAACAACCACTTGGGTTCACTGCATACTCCTGTGAGACAGGGATGTCCTTCAGCTTTGCAGCTGAAAGTGGGATAAATAGCAAGCAATGAATCTGAACAGATATGTAGGCCACTTAGCTTTGAATAATGTATTTGATCTGTTGTGCAAGGGACACAAAACATATGTAAGGATGTTGAGAATTTTTTGGAGTGTGCCTAGATCAGCCTGAAACATACACAAATTTCTGATAATTTGCAGTACTTTTGGTTTCATTAAATCAGGGCACCAGAGCACTTGAACAGATGTTTTTTTCTCTGGTAAAATGAAGGCAGATATGAAACATCTTTTGTGGAGATTCATATGTTAATTCCCCACAGGGGCAAACAGAGTAACATACACTATTGAAATGAGAATAAAAAGGCTCACTTTTATTATGCCATTATTGCAAATGTATCATTATAGGGGTCAAACTCAAATTTCTGTTTCTGTAAAATACAAGGACTCTGACAATATGATTCTGCATCTGAAAGAAATGTTGCAAGAAAGATACCTTAATCAAATATCTTCTTTTAATTATGTAAATAATGCTGGAAATATCTTCATATTTTTACAAACCCTTTCTCTGCTAAAGCATCACCAACAGACTGCTTTTCTACAATTTTTTTTAGGCAAAAAAAGAACAAACATAATTGGATATATTTACTTTAAAACATTTAAAACAAATTATTTGGATCAATTAACACAAACAACTATGCATCTTCAGACAGTTATGAAGATGCTGATGGAATATTCATCATGCATACTTTTTCTAATGTCTGCTATCATGCTGACAGGTGTGTACTGTGCAGCAGCAGATGGCACATCAAGCACCTGGTGCTTGGGGATGGGACAGTGCAGGGTGGCAAATACGGTGTTCTGCTTCAAGGTAACACAAGAAGGAGGCTCACACACAGTCACAACAGTCAAGTTCACACTTGTGTCTAATAAAAGCATCTTGATTGATTCTTACAGACTGAAAAATTTGTTTTTGTGAAGATTTGTTTTGTTTCTTGCTCTAGTGGAATTTAAGTTTCTCACAACTCCTCATTTTCAGTATCCTTTTTTTGTTTTCTTTGGTTTTGATAGTGCTGCACTAAAAACAACAAAGAGCTTTTTGTCTTATTTTGCTTTCCAGGTTCACGTCATACTGCTGAATCAACATGGAAGTACAGAAAAGTGTCCCAAAACAGCTGCAATGTTTCCATGTCACATGAAAACATAGCACAGAAAGCAGTGGACAGCACCTCAATAGAAAATTTTGTTTGATGAGTGGTCTGGCATACATCCCTAAAGCCTTCAGTAAGTTATGCTATGTAACAATTCATATCATCATCAAGAAGAGTTTTAACTTAAAGCAGCTGTAGAAAATCTTGCAGAGTGAAAGCAATACTGTGGGGATATGCTTATGAAAAGGGGCAATATTCTAAGCTACATGACTTAATCAACACTTCCATAACAGGTGGACTACACCAATTAGGGGCAGTGCGCAGAGGCAATGCAAATTCATTTCTTGTCCTTTCAACCACCAGCTGATGTTTTTTTATGGGACAGGAAATGTCCCATTAATGTCCCATTAATGCCAGGAAAGTTTTGGCTTTTAAAAAATCCATTTTATGGATTAAACACATTTAATTTGGTGGTAGCTCTAAAGTATGTATTTTTTCTAAGTTTCTGGGTTTAACAGTAACTCTATTGACTATAGGATAAAAAGAAAGGATTAAAGCAAAGAGGAAAAAAACATTTTCAGCGGCCACTGCTGCTTAGTTGACAAGAAGACTTAGCAGTATTGATACAAAAAATGAGAATATATTTTTTAATTCCTCATGCATTTATCAATTTTTTATATTTTAAGGTGAAAGACAGCATTTGTCAAAGTTCAGCTTTCAGATAAGTGCTTCTACTGAATGTGCTTTATCAGAGACAGTGAGATGGTCACAGTAATAGACCATTTATCTAAATTTCCAAGATTTGGGATCTAGGTCTACACATCTACACATAGCCTGCTCCACCACCGAGCACCAGCCTGCTCTCCATCAGATTCTGCAGAAAGAAAATCCACACACAAGGGCTAGAAGGGAACCAGTCATCCTTGGCCAAAGCCCTACTAGAGAAAATCATGGGGATCAGCTCTCCGGGGCTTGCACAATGTTCAGGTAACCTAAGTACAGTCCTTTGAGAGCCAAAGGTTTTATGTCATGTACAAGAGTGGAAATAGAGAAAAACCACACAATACTGGTGGAATAATTAGAGGAATCTGAAGTATGGAGAAGCAGGCTCACATCTGCAGCAGCACTGCCTGCTGTGTCACATGCTGCTGCACAGCAACTGGCACACAGCTGAGGACTTTCTGCTTTTACTGTCTGAATGTATTTACAAAATATGTATTTTAAATTTAAGCAATTCTTATTTTTTTCCTTCTAAGAGAGAGAGAATGTCTATCTAGCCACTGTTTATAAAGATACAAAGAATGATTCCACTTAACATCCAAAGAAGGTTGCATTTTAAAAAAAATCAGGTTAGAATAAAGCATAAACTGAACAAATCAATGTATCTTTTTTTGCTCTCAGTCAATTTATTGCAAGCACAATGAGAAAACAGGCTCTCTGGAAGCACATGCTGTGGACTGTGAAAGCAGAATTAAATTTTTGAGATCTGGGGAACAAAAAATGCAGCCAGCACCAGAGAGTATGTACTTTAACTCAGGCTGTTGGCTGCACCTCCCAGCAGCACTTAGACTGTCACAGCATATGTTTCTACTGTGGGACTTGGGAGACTTCCAGTCCTTAAATCCAAGGTAAGGCCCTGTTGTGGCCATATTCTCATGAGCACATCAGATGTTCCTGAGCCATCCAGACTCACATTATCCCCCACTTTCCTGCACTCTGATTTTCACAGGAAGGATCAGAGCATTAACAGAGCACAGAGCAGTGATTTTATCTTGATTCTTAGAAGCCAGGACACTGGGCATAACTGCACTGCCCCTAACTTCACTTTGACCAGAAAAGCTTCCCTTGGTGTTTGGAGAAACAAATGAGAACAACATGATATCTGCAGTGGATTGGAAGATATGTCTGAAATATCTTTTTTTATGACTCTGTGCATCTTTCCCATTTCCAGTCCTTGCAGCATACTTGCTCCTATCCTGTGTTTTGAATGACTAAAAATAGAACAAACCAAAATTAAATTGCTACGCAACGTATTTTGCCTGCATGGGCTGCATTATGTTCTTCTGCACGTGTAGAAGCAGAATGCATTCATAACTAATCAATGAATGTATTTGAATTTTATGTTTACTGTGTATTTGCCTGTGCTGCTGCACTATTTTCATCTCACTGACTGACGTCTTAATCTCCATATGATGTAAACATATTACTCACCTATGACTCACTTTTGTAGTATCCACACTCGAATGAATACAGTCAGAAATTAAAACACCACCATTTAGAAAACCATTATAGGCACACTTAATTCATTTATAAAAGCAGCACCCTGAATAAGATATTAGCTAAAATCAGGATACCCAATATTTGAATTAATCATGTTTAATGGTTTCAGTTCCATCTGAAAGATTCAGGATTTGCTGCTCTGCAGGTGTCTGTTTATTCATCTGTTTGGCACAGGGGACAGTGAAATTAAGTGTTCACACACATTTATCTTCTCCTGCACCAACAGATAAGAAGAAAACAGCCTGATATAACTGATTAGACTCAATTTGCCATTTTTTCTTACAACTACTTATTTTCCTTACTTCCTATACTTAAAGGGATGTATATATATACATAGATAATTATAATTAAATATTTTTATATATTTATATATCTAAGTATATACTTATATATACTCAAATCACATAGAAATCTAGGAAATCCAGTGAATTTCATTAAAAAGAGTAACTATCCTATGTAGCACTCCTATGTCAATCTATTCATGCTAGTAAGTAGGCACACCAGTTAAAAAAATTCATTTTCACTGAAGGTTTTAGTATTTAAAGGCACTGATGAGAAATCATCCTCGTCTATAAACTACCTACTACAGTAGAAACTGCAATGACCATAATTTTTTTTAAAAAGGTCCCAAACAAATATTCTGGGTGTTTTGTTACAGCCAATTGCAGTTCTGTAACTGGCATCATATTGCCATTTACACATTCCTCTACTGACATGAAAAACTTTTGTGTAATAACCTTTGTGTGTTGTTGGTCCACTCCCTTAGAGCTTTTAACAAAGTCAAATTTTAAAAAAATAACATGTCGCATTGAAAACAAGTCTAATTTTTAACAGAAGTCTTAAAGACAAGCAGTATTCACATCAAATAATTTAAAGAAAATAATTTTAAGAACATCTTTTAAAATGTTGATTATAGCTCTATATGTAACCTAGGTCAGTACCAGTATGTCTACCAGCATCTTTATTAGTTAGGGC